TATGGCCAAAGAAAGCTAAATCTGAGTATGAAATTTCCTTTGGAAAGATACAGAAAGACAATTGTAGCACTATTAAGGGGGTTTACAACTGCTCAGAGCCTCAGTGCACCTTCCGTACACTTAAAAGTAGACAGGCAGCTCTTTGGCTCTTGACACAGAGGCTCTCAGTGAAAATGTGAGTCTGTCACAGCTGAGAAACTCTCATGGAAAGAGCATAGCATTAGTCTCCAGATAACTTTAAAAAGAAAACAAACTTTGCTTGTTTTCTTTTTGATGCAAAAAAACAACAACATAAAACCCCCTGCAGGACTAAACGTCAGAAAGGAACAGGGAGAGAAAAGATGACTGCTGTCAGAACTGTATTCGCTCAACATGGAATGACTTGGTCATTATGACCACATAACAGCAGAGAGCAGGTCAGTCGAAAGCAGAACTCTTTACAGCTTTGTTTAAGAAATAAGAACAGTCTTTTTTTAGAAATGTGTGAAATATTTCTGTTTTCAGTATAGACCTAATTTTATGACAATAGCTGTCGGTCCACAGTATAGAACATTACATTTTACAATAAAGTTTTAAACAAAGCTTTATCATCACCATATTTTCCAGACTCTAATCCTGGCACAGATGTAGCTTAAGTGTAGACAAAGCAGCTTCTCATATCTTGGACAGATGCTCTTATAGGGACAAAGGGTTAAAGGTTGTTACAAATAAGCCTTCCAGCAAACAATTATTCCTTTAAGACTCAGCCCACATATTGTTTTCAACAGTCATCCTTGTTTTCTTTGCCACTTGTTTGCCTTACATTTCAGCTAAATACTCATGTGCCAATGTTGGGAGTTTGGCTAAAGGTCATTTGGGGCCTTTTATACTCAATCCATGGTCAGAGAGTAATAAAATAAAACTGCCCCAACACATTATTAGTACTACACTAAAATGTTTGTTTGTTCATTCCCTACTGGTTTTACACATTTACCAAAAGTAATCGCTGCTCTGAATGCAGCCACAGTTCATGAATATTTCATGATTTGTTTTACAATTAGCACATCTAATATGTCAAGAGAACCTCTCAAAATTAATGACATGCACAAAACCACTGACAGTTGATTCAGCCCATTAAAATCACCCATTTGAGACTAGTTGTTAACTATTACTCATCTTCTCTCCCCTTTGTAAATGAATAAATGTACAGGTCCAATAGGCACACTCCGAATCAGACTGAACGGTTGAGACTTTGCTTTTGGTCTGAATTTGTGCCCAAGGAATTCACTCTGTCAAAAAGGATTCTGAGCATAATCGATCAAAACAGGCTTGAGAATCTCTGCTGCATGATCAGATGTGGCCTCACAAATCCTCCTGCGTTCTCGGACCATCTTTTACACTAACCGTTCTGTCCAGGCTCATGCTGCAGTAATTCTGCTGTGCTCGTCTCCGATTAAAGCAGGCACACAACATCAGAGGCATCCATCTAAAGTTGAATGTCTGGCGAACGCACAATTGGTCATATTAATTTTCCCCTTCACAGTTGCTCGGGTTTTTTGTAACTCCAGAAGGAAACGTGTGTCTCCTCAGCTGTTTAATGTCTCTATTTGTTAGCCGGGTAGTCACTCAGTTTGTGTGCTGGTTGTTTCTGGGAAGGATGCGAGCAGTTAGTTTTGCAAACAGCCTCCTGACATGAGCCGAAAGAGTGAACCTGAACACTAAAGCTGCAGGTTGTGACCGTCCTGCTCTAAAAAACTCTGAATGAATGATAAACTCTGGTTTAGGTACATTAGTTCTGGCCAACTTTTCATTTATGCAGTTACTGATTATCAGATGTAAGGCTCACAGTGCAATACACCGGTAAAGCTTCCTCTCATCGGGAGATTAATCTTCATCTTTCTTCCTCCAGATGCAAGAAATGGTCAAAAATCACTACATTTCACTTTCAGTAGAACCAGAGGGTTTAGAGACTGAAACAGTCTGTTGGATATCTACCTTCATATTGATTTGGAGGTGGAACTGTGATGCCTACTAAATGGATTTGAGTCCAGCTGTATTGCAGCTTGAGAGAAAGGCAGGCTTTCAATGTGAAGACAAGGCAGGTAAAAACTGTAAATACACTCTGATTTATTCCGCCTCTCAGTGTAATGTAGTTTGTTTCTGAGGCAACACACTATATTACACTGATTAGTACACTGCCTGGCCAAAAATCAAGAAGAGAAACCAGTTGTATTTAACCCCATAATGCCATATGCATCGTATTTGATACGTGTGGTTTCTGAAATGTTTTGCATTTGAGACCTTTTGTATCATTTCATGGTAAAAACGTTTGCTCAAAACCCCTGTTGAACACCAATACACATACCTGAAACCAGCCTGAACAAGACTACACGACTGCACGGTAATAAATGACTATTTCACATCTTTTTCTTACTTTGCTAAAGTGCCCAAAAATACTTCAGACAACAAAAAAGTTCGACCTTTCAACAAGGATAGGACCTAAGGGTGCTTCAGGTGGTCGGTTTAGATTTAGGAACTTTATGTATGCATAGTCCAAATTATTTCAGCTGCCAGGATATATTGACCAGATTTTTCCATCAACAAATGTTGCCTCCATGAGTGATACAAGCGTTTTAAGGAGAGAATCTTTGTGATAGAGGGGTGACGAGTTCATGCGGGCAACTGGCTCTTCCATCACAGATATGGTTAAAAAGTTCAGGTCCATCAGAAAATTTACTGAAGGGGAAAGTACTCACTCAATCCCGCTCTTTACAGCAGAGTTCATGTTCCTAGGCTGAAGGGCGCAGAGCAGTATTTCCACCGGACTGCTAAAGCAGCAGCCAGAGCACGGAAAACATCATCTGAACACCGGTTTCATGTGAACAGCCTCTATACTGTATGTTAAGCTCAGAATAACCCGTAGTTAATGTGATAGCATTTTGCTATTCCTTTATTTTCGGGTGTGTCCATGTCTGTGCTGCAGTGTTCGAGTTGCTGATTATGCCTTTCACCATTGAGTCATAGCTTAGCAACAAGCCTATTTTTGGTTTCAGGCAATTATCCACAAGGCAATATGTTGTTGTGGTTCTATGATACTTTCAGCCTGTGGATGAAAGGAAAGGAGAGGAGAGGAGAGGAAAGGGTCTCAGCCCACTTCGGTAAAGTCCCAGATATAAATGTATGTTACTGGATGCGAATACACAGAAGTGAGAAGGTGGGATCCATATTTCTACAATAATGAGGAATTCTAAACAGAGAGCCACCAAGACAAGCAATGCTTTGTGATCATATGTGTGATAACACAATTTACCATCAAAATATAGTTAGATTTTTAAATATATTATTTTCTATTATTCTAAACCCATACATGTAACCAATCTCATAAAATGGCATATTGATGACTTGGGATTTTGTTTAAATTCAATAGAATCTGAATAAACAGGATCTTTTCACGGAGCATGTTTTTCTTCGAATTTAAGGAGGCTGCCCATGTGCTTAGAGCACTGTATACTCCCATAATTGAATAAATAAAAGCAAAAAAAAAAAGTTGTGTTTGCTTATTTTCCATTTTAGACTAATTAAAAACTCTGATTTCAAAGGCCCAGTGCTCTGCTTTTGTCACTTCTAGGTGCTCTGACATTTTAACAAGAAACTGTGGAGGACTGTCTTTCTCACAAGACTCCATTAATGTGGATGTGCAGACAGACTGTAGAGACATTTTGACAAGTGCGTTGATATTTGTGCTTCAGCAAAAGTAGACGTGGGCTGAGGAAGACTGTTAAATAAGCAGGTTTTTTCTCAGATTCAGCTGAGCGGTTTGTAAGTGTCATTACATAAGACATGTCATATTACTGTGTGTTATCTCTCATATGTGTTATGTCATCTTTTTACATACACACTAATTATGAGACACTTTCCACTTAAGCTTCACAGTTTCATAGTTGTCCTGCCATGCAACCAGGATTTAGAATGAATATCTGCTTCGGGTGATACTTTAATGTAGCTGATTGTAAAAGGAGGGCACAAGTCAGCATTTTGTATTTGTTCTATTCAGTTATGTAAGGACTTTGAACATTTTTTTTTAAGGAAAGGAAAACCAGGACACAGAATTAGGGGTACTTTCAATTATTGAAATGCGGTGCACTGAATGCAAAGTGAAAATATTGGTTTCTAAACTTTTGCTAAAGAATATCTGTTATTCATCTCCCATTGAAAAGTGTTCTTTAAAGGGAATATTTGATGTAATAACTTGGCGATCAGATCAACTGTGTCTCACTCAATTATACTGCTGCAAATAATACTCTCGCACCTCCAGCTCTCCCAGTTTGTGTCATGTATGTTTTTTTAACAAGTTAAGCCTTATATATTTGGCCCTCAGAACTACAGCATATAAATTGTGCATATTTTTTAGCCTTACCAACATGTATGTCTTTTTTTTCGAATTTATGAGATCTGATCTTAGTTTTAATCTCAAGCAGCAACATGGATGGTTCCTGCTAAATTATGCAACAAAGATCTAGATTGTTCCACTGTTTGTTTTCTTTAATTATGCTGTCTGTATTCCCACTCTCTCCCATCCACTCTGTGTCATTGCCATGCACATTCTGTTTCTTTTTCATCTGTCCCTGTCCATATCCATCCATCTCTTCCACATTTACCTCTTTTCTCTCCTGTCATGCTTACGCCTCATCTTTATTGCCGCCCTGCTGCTGATCACTGATTCCCCACACCCCCACCTTCACAGACTGTGTTCCACTCTGAGATCCTGTCTGTATTATGAACAGCGCTTTTAGGATGATTCTATTACATGCCTCCTAGCTGCTGGATAACTCAATAAGCGCGGCTGAGATGACACACAGTTATAATCTACTTAATGAAGCTACTGTACTGATGAAGTGTTCGTATTTTCCTCCTCCATTTCTACTAGAATTATTTCCCTGTACCTCTCTAAACCACGTTTTTTTTTTCATTTCTCCTCTCTTTTCGTTTACACCTGCAGGTGTTGATGGAGAGCCATTCGAATGACAGCCGGGACAGTGGTCATCACTGGTGGAATCCTTGCTACTGTTATATTACTCCTTATCATCGCAGTACTGTGCTACTGTCGGCTGCAGGTGAGGCTTTAGTCTCATTTAGTTTCATTTTGTTCATGACAATGTTCAAATCTGAGTAGAATTTGTGTACCGCTGTCAAGATGCTCATTCAGATGTATTCCAACTGCTAAATAATTTCCAAAACAAAATCCTGTTATACTCGGAAATGTGCAGAAAAAAGATAAGGTATTTAGCTGCTGAGAAAATGCAACGTGTCATACTTTAATTATTCTTAAGACATACCAAACAACCTCGAAATTTCGTATAAATGATTTGACATTAACACCCACAGTGGGATTTCTTTGGCTCCTTAAACTAATCTCTCCTTAAATTAAGTCAAGTGAAGTAAGACACAGAAGTTATGAGGGCATAAACTTTGATATCAAGGTGTTATACTGGTGTTATACTGTATATATATATATATATATGTATATATAGCATAAAAACATAAAACGTTGTTAGCTTAACAGAATTTTATCTGTAAATGAAAGTATTAGACCGATAAATTAGACTATTAGACTGACTATTAGACTATAAATGAAAGATTATACTTGGTAGACTAGCCAACAAGTGGTGTTCACTCCATCTGGCTCTAATAATGTTGTTTTTTTATTTCAGTCCACAGCTCTGTGGTATATTCCAGTAAATGACACATTGGTGCTTCACACTTGGTGTTGGTGGGAGTTGACCTTGCTGACTTAATCTGAAATACATAGGACTGCAATCAGCATGGCTGAAAGCACATTACATAGCTCTTATAAACAAGAACAACTGATAATGCATTCAGAGTAGCTTTCAATAATACGTTTGGACATCAAATAAAGTAAAGGTCACATACAGAGTATTTTGTGCATGTGCTGTCTATATTGTCTATTGCAAAAGCTATGTGCACAAAAAATGAATATTCAAGAATGCCCTTCAAACCACAGCATATTTTATCTATCTATTAACTTATCAGCTGATATATCTATCCATTTTGAGCCACTGTTTGCTATGTTCATTTGTAGCATGCCATTCATCTATGCACGTATCCACATTTCCGAAGGAGGAGGTCACACAGAGATTTTGTTTCCCCCTTTTCTGTACAGAAATTCACACAGACTGCGTTTATGTTTTCATACTTGGCAGACTTCAGTTTATTAGATTTAGATCACATACTGTTTAGATAGTTGTCCATCCAGCATTATCCCAGTTTCAGGGAGGAGACTGAGTTCTGACTGTGTTCCGTAATGTTTAAAAGCATTTAATATCTTTTTATCCATTTTGGGCAGATGTAGACTCAGACTCTCTCAGCCAGTATCAGAGCTTTTGATTTGATGATTTACATAAGAATTTAATATAATATTTGGCAAATTGCCAAGACTGAATATGGAAGATTTTGTTTGCTTTATCACATGATGCAAGTTAAAAATGTCTGCTGAAAAGATTTGTATTCAATCCTATATTAAATTATGTCGGTATCAGATGACATGTGAAAATATGAGACAGTTCTTATTAAACAATTTAGGAAAGTGTTACATTTTTAAACCGTAATTACTTTCCCCCCCTCTCTCCTCCCTCTATCTTCTCTCATCTTTCACTGTCTATCAACTCCCACCCCCAGTATTATTGCTGTAAGAAGGAAGAGTCTGAGTCGGAGGAGGAGGAGCCAGACTTCGCCGTAACATCCCGCCTCCCGCCAGTTCACTCCAACCACAACATTGTGGCAGCAAGTGCCGCCGCCTCCTCCATCCCGAATGGCCCAGCCCTTTTCTCCACCCCTCCGCTGGCCAGAAAACTGACCCGCTCACAGACCTTCTGTCCATCGTGTACACACTATGAGCTGCCTTTCTACCTCCAGCCTCCTCAGCCACAGCTCCACCATCAACCAGATGGGTTGAGGAACGGGGGTGAGCGGATCAGCTATCGCAGCGTCCAGCAGCAGGATCTGGACCTGCCAGTGCCTGTGAACATTTCAAACTACCGCAAACCAAACCTAGCCCGGTCGGTGACCATGAGGGACATGTTCACACGCAGCTGTAGCATCAGCACCGATGTCTAACTGGGCAAAGGTCAGGCCCAAAGTGACGTCATGCCTCAGTGAATTCTGATGGCCCGGCATAGACTGCGCTTCGGCCAGACTGTGTCTCTGTCTGTTGACCACTTCCGTCTGATTTTGTCGAGTTTCAGTCTACCAGTCACAGCTTGAAGAATGGAGGACTCTCAGGACAGATTTTTTAGAGGTACTATACTCAGGTCCACGACTTTACTGGGCCATAGTAGAATATTAAAAAAGGATCAAAAACAGAATCACTGTTTTGGTTTGAGCTGTTACTTTTAGTAAAGATGATTACATTTGTTCTACAGTTTAAAGTCAGCGAAGCCCTGCTGGACCCTTCTTCCCCTGATTTGAAAACTGGCAGACTACCACCAAATCAGAATAACATAATCATGAGGGACTGTCCCTCTCATGCAGCTGCTACAAACAAAAATGTCTCAATAAAGTGTTTGTTATTATTACAGTGGGATGATCAATTTGTTTTGAAGACATTATGAAATGTCACTCTAGACGAAATAGAGAAAGAGGGGTGTGTCACATTTTCTGTTGCCACCCAGTGACATTTTAGATATAAGTCAAGGGCTCACAAAAATGTAAAATCCTACTTATTTTCCTCATCTCTTCATAGAGGTCTCAAATTGAACAGGGGGCTAGTCACTTGGATGTCTGCTTGCATTTGTGTGCATAAAATGTATGTGAGTGTACTGGCATGCATGTGTGTAGGAGTGTATGTCGTGGTCAATTGTTATAGCTGAGTGCATCTGTCACTTGATTAAACACATTCTGTCATCGGAACATACCAGGAACTCAGAGCAGAGGTGGCCTGCAATAGCATTTCAGATGTTTCTTGATAAGGATACGGTTTATTTTTCTTTGTTCTAAATTCAAGCAAATGCGAAGACGAACCCAAGCAGATGACATGACAAACACTATTTTGAATATATTTATTTTGCAGATTAAGACTATGATTGCAGGCTCAAGGTGTGGGTGCAGAGGGGCTAAATGCTTTGACGATAACATTTCTAGATTTCTGTTGGATCTCTGTCACATTTTTTTCACCGAAGGTTGAGTTTTGGGACTTTTCACTTCATTCCTTGTGTTGTACCTGATTTGTGGATTCTTGGGTTAAAGAATTGCCCTTAATGGCAAATGTATAAATATTTAACAGGCCATAATGTACACTGGTCTCTCTCTCTCCTCTCTCTTGACTCGCTGGACTGAGGAAAATGTGCTCTCGCTCAGAGGTACACGGAGAGTTCCTTCTTGGGACAGTTTTTATTTTCTGCGCTTGGCTGACCGGCCTGGCTGTGGGGGGGGGCTGATATTCTGACTGAAGGAGCAGCGGCTGGATTTTATGGGCCCAGGACACACACTTAATGACTGGAATTATTTACTGCTTGATTTCAAAAGAGAGGACACCAGTGGTTGTGTGAGGGGCTGGAATCTGATTGGATTGTCTATCTTGGACACCCACCCCCCACCCCATATTTCCTCTCAAACATGTGGTAGATGCCGTTGTACCTTCCATTTGGGTCTCTCTGTTGATTTAGTAACAGTCATGCTCATGAATTTTCCTGAGAGGTAAAAAAAATTATGTCTTAAGTTTTTCGTCTTATGACTTGCATACACAGAGGCTACAGCACACACACAGATTTTGTAAAACTCACTTTGCGAGGACTTAATCACTTTCATAATGCACTCCTCGGCACATTATTCTAATCCTAATCATACCAACTGAAAGCGATACCCAAACCCTTACCTTAAGCTTCATTTTGATCTTAACTTTGGAGAAAAGTCTCAGCCTTCGAGCAGCCCTTACGCTTAGAAAGTATTACCAGCATAACTTTCTAGAACTCTGGTCCCCCAAGGACAGTCATAAGTTACAAGTCCACACATGCACACACACAGACAATGACAGATTCACAGACAATAGTTCTCTAGCTACATGTTATTCAAAACTAAATCTATCTGACAGTTGCACAGGAAATGTAGTGCCATAAAGAATAATGGGAGAAATGTATTAGTATTATTATTATTACTGTTATGATTACAGGTGTATATTCAGATGCAGTGTTGCTTTTCTGTTTGGGTATTTGAAGAACTTGCTTTATTTTATGATCCAGCTGTTTTTTCAGATTCAGTACAATACTGCAGACATGTTTCTGTCTTTGTTTCTAATATATAACTAACAGACACATTGTTGCTAATAAAATGGTGTGAAAACCCTTCTGACCTCTGCTGTTGTGAAGTCAGCATTTATTCTTATGAATTTTGACGTGTTTCTACTGTTGATCAACAACAGAAAAAAAGTGCATTTGTGATTCCAAAGGTTTTGCTTCCACATCTCCACTGGTCAGTTCTGAATGGAGTGACAGCTTGACAGGATCCACAGTTAAATGTGGGAGAGGGTTCATCAAGAAGTCAAAGCAGGAGGAAAAGACAGGAAATCTATTTGAAAGTAAGGATTTTTTGTTTGAACGAATGCAAAAACATTATATTCAGTTTTGATCAAGCCTGGTTTGAGGAAACATGTAATGTGAACCCCAAACAGCAAAAAACTTTATATTCACATTTTTAACCATGTTTTCTTTAATTTTGTCAAGTATTTTGAAAAATGTATATTCTCTTATAAACAAAGAGGTGAAACCTTCTTCTTTCAAGTTACTAAAATGTCCCTAAAATGACTTTAGGGACTCTCAGATGTCATAACTGCCTATCGACGGAAATGTAGCAATTTGTATGATCCGAACAGAAACTATTTCTGCTAGATGCCAAATGTGAACAAACTGGCTTCATCCAGAAATCCTCCTGGATTATATAACTTGATTTACTGCTAAATACAAGGTAAATCAAGAACTGAGCTGTTTTTCATGGGGCACCGACTGCAAACAGCAGAGCTTATCACTCTGACAGTTCTTTGCTGAGAGTAATTAGCATCTTTTCTGTGATATCTCTCTGAAGATTAATTTGCTTCAATTTGTATTCAAACCAACCATCTAACGCTGTACTGATTAAGTTATTAAACCACCATATTTTCCTCGTCAATCGAAAGATTTCAGATGTGCATCTGAGATAAAAACCTATGAATGTATGTGGGTTTTTTTTTATGTATTGTAACAGAGATCCTGTAACAAATCAAACAATATCACACGATAAGAACTGAGCCTCCATCCACAGCACCAGCAATAAAGTCTGCACATAGATCCAGTCAGCCCTGAGGCAAGAAGGTGAGTAAAACGTATTAATGTGTTGGAATGGGAAGATGCGGAGCAGGTGTGATGGCAAACAAAATTGACTGGGGTGAAGACACGATAGAAGGAAAGCTAAAAGATTAAAACAGGTAGTATTACTTTAGCAATAAACTGAATGAGTCAGAGAGGAATACAAAGTAATTCTGCAATAAGAAAAACAACTGAAAACTATCTAAATACAGGTAGTTTTTTTTAAAGATGAGTCAGAGGCGATGAATGGGTAATAGAAGATAACATAGCACAGAACACAGAGACAGATGGAGGCGTTGAGCAGCAGATATCCCACCAAGGCCTGCCTGGCTGAGACATGAATAACCAGTATGTGATGGCATTAATACAACAGCACTGCTTCAGAAGTGAAAACCCTATCAGATTATGGTAGATTTCCTTTGATGTGGGTATATTCAAACTCATACTTATCTCTAAATGTATTGCAAGAGCTGGAACAGGAAACTTAGTGTCACAAACACATTCCACCCACATGATAACAGGCTTGAGAATGTATTTATTTATTTTATTACAGTCTTCAAAATTTCAAGCAGAGTACAGGCTGCAGAACAGCGGGATGATAATTGTTTTCATGACTATAAAAGCTACATGATCTGTACTTTTATTTTCTTCTCACAAAGGCACAGGTGTATAGCAGCATTCTGCGTGTGTGGACATGCATGTGTGCAGGATTTGGGGTAAATCATATTTGTTTTTGCATGATTTCTTTTGTTTGTTTACATGTTTTGACTGCATTTGTTAGAAGAAGAGCTTGTGTGAGCCAAGTGAATTATTTAAAGGCACAATTCCCTCCAGTGTATGCTGCCCTCGTAGGACGCTGGTGGTCACCATCATCCTCACCCCTGTCTCACCCCGCAGTATGCTCACCCTCCTCCACTCTGTCTGCTCACTGTACATTTTGCACATTCCTTTAGACTCTCTTTCTCGAGGGCTTTGTCTTTGTCTTTGGGTGTCTGATGGTCGGAACGCAACAGCCGTGGAATTTAGCTGCATAGGAGGAACTGGCTTTCCATGAATTATGAACATGATAGATTTCCAACTAGCATAACAAATCAAAGCGTCCCACTTCTCCCGCTTTGCCCTTATTTTTCTGCTGTTATGACCTTCTGTCCAATTATCTACTCGCCCCACCCATTTACCTGCCCTCCCGAGTGGACTTTCCTTATGTACATATTTCTCACTGCATCTTATGACCTTCTTTTTTTTATTCTGTTTTTTTCCCAATATAATGCCATCAAATAAAACAATACAATATACAATACTAAAAATCTAAAAATAAAGAGAGGATAACAGAAGAAGGATCAATACATTGTACAAAAACATTTAAAGATTTTTTTTTGTTCTGCTAGGTTCACTTTAATTATGTAAAGAAATGCATGGAACAGTTAATAAATTAAGTCGCTGCTCTCTAAATGCCTTTGGAAGGTCAGTTCAGCTGAAAATCATTTTTTTACAATCCATAACTTGACTTCCTTCTTAACCTCTGTGTATCATATATTGCGTCACCAACAGCATGTGCCCTCTAATAATCCTTTGCTGCATGGCAGTGTTGTGGTTAGCACCATCGCCTCACAGCAAGAAGGTTCTGACCTTTCTGTGTGGGGTTTTTATGCTTTCCCGTATATGAGTAGATTCTTCTGGTCTCCTCAGAGTTCCTGAAGAACTGAAGACTGTGAAGTGCCTGTAGGAGTGAAAGTGTTTGTACGGGTTTGTTCGACTCTGCTATCCAGGGTGTACTTTGTCCCGTTCCCAATAGCCTAAATTTCATCACATCAGAATACTTCCTGTTCCTGACCACAAAGCCAAAGAAGCTCTGCCATACTGATTATGGTTTGGGAATTCTTTTTATTACCGTTTTAAGTTGCTCACTCCAAGACAAACAGATACGCTGTGTTTCCACAGAGCTTTGTTTCAGCTAACTAAGTAGGCTGGGCTCTTCCCAAAATGAGAATGGTTTATTCATAAAATGTTTTGAAGACAGCCAGACTGATTTTTTTTACACCTTTTGGGTTTCAGTTTTGGTATCCTAGTGTCCCAGTAATGACAGATGAACTCCAACACACATCCCTATGGTTTATGTGAGATGGGTGTCTTTTCTTCTGAATGAATCAATGTTCTCAATTATTTTAGATTACTAGGAAATTCATTCAAAATGAATTATTTGATTCCTAAAAACATCTATGTCTCTTACTGGTTTGTCAGAGATAGGGAGAAGTAAGCCACTTCTATATATTTCTGCTGCTTCACACACATGACTATATCCAGGAGCCATTACCACCTAGTGAGTGTAATGCTGCGGTTTCTGAAAGGAGAAAAGGCCATGCTTCTTGTCTGAATTTTTCATTCTCCACCTTCTCTGTTTCTGTATAAACTAATAAATAACCAATGAATCCAGGGGACATGACACAGAATGGACTAGATTTTTTGTCCTCCACACCACAACATCAGCTCACATTGACGCACATATTGTTTGCCCTCCTCTTTTCCTGCACCACCCCCTACTCATCCCTCTCTCAAATCAGGCACATTCTGTGTTTTAGGAGCATAATGTTTCACGCTGCTCTTCATCCTTTTGTAATTGGCCAGCTAAGGGAACCAAAAAGACTTTTGGCCTGAACACATAAAGAAATGTCTGTCACTCTTTGTGAATTGAACGTTGTTCATCTATCACTAATATCAAAGAGCATGGATGATTAAACTGGAATAAAATCAGATCAGCAATTGAATATTTGCCACAGCTTAGGTCTCAGAATTCTTCTCATTCAAGTGGAGAGTAGGTTGTTTCAGACAGAGAAGGAGAAGGTGAAAGAGAGCCTTTAGGTGTTTTCTTAGAGAAGAGTGAAATTAATCAGCTCTTTGTCTCCATCTAGTGGGCATAATAATAATAATACACAACGTCTCATAAAATGTATTTTCTCTATTCATAATAAAGATAATAAAATGCTAACTATTTTTTCATCTGCTTCGTGCTGCTTAAAGTTTCCGCACAAAAAAAAAATCAAAATTTGAATCTAACTTGAAATTGTTCATAGTGAAACTACCACGGCTGTAGCGATATGTACTTGACCTACGTCGGCTCGTTAAACCGGAAGTAGTTATGCTTGTTGCTATAGTTACCTGTGTCCCGCCTCTTCGTTACGATGTCCAATCCCACCTTGTTTTGAGTCTTCAGCATGGACAGCAAACTTCTTTCTTTCTGCGTTCTGTAAATCAGATATTGGAACGACATGGAGGGCAGTATGAACACTGACAGGTCCGTGGAAGCACACTGCAGCGCAAACCGTAGTCAAGTTTCGACGCCGGAAGGAAATGACTCAAAGAGAGGGACAATAAAAAGGTAACTTCACAGTTACCCAAACCTAACAGTGTAGCTGGCGGTACATGTGAACCTAACGTGGACTGTCACGTTGTCATGTTTTTCAAAAAATCAGAAGTGGGACTACCAGAGTCTGGTTAAGTAGCCGGTAAATACGATGTTAGCCTAAAGTTAACGATACGTGCCACAATGAGGACGGCTCGGCCATGACGCTAAAGCAGATGTTAATAGACATTCTGAATCCTATTTGAAATACCGTAGGGTTTTCAACACATTTTTATACTGTGAGTACGTCGTCGTCCATCAACCATGCCGACTCACCAATTACCTCGTCCCTTTTTCATTTAGAACTCCATTTTCAAAGTTTAAGAGAGTACACTCCAACTTCAAGTCACCTGTAAGTAAGTCCTCCTGTCACGTGACCAGCTGCATGTCACCGTTTGTTGTGTTGATCAGTTTTTTTTTTGGGGGGGGGTCTTGCATTTCACAGCTCCAAGTATCAGAGAGTGTTCAAATCAGCCCCGAAGAGGAGGTGGCAGAATTGGTGAGGAGAAGAGAGCAGCTGGATTTAGAGATAGCACAGCTGGAGGCACAGTAAGTACAGTTTTTTATTTCTGTTGGGGGGTTTTTATACCCAGCTTTAGAAGTTTATACTTGTGGTTATTTCTAATGTCTACGGGAATGGAATCAGTAATTGTTATCTCTACAATTATCCAAGAATACCAACATTTATGTCTTCATTTCTGCAGAAATAAAAGTTTTACTGTCAACATTTTTTCCCCAGAAGCTTCTTTTTGGGCTTCGTACTTGTGTAAGCATTTTGCACCTAAAGTGCTTTTAAAAATAACCAATGTCATCCTTGTTGTCCAGAGGATGTAGAGTAGAAGAGCTGGAGGACCATATTGACAAGCTGCATGAATACAACGATATCAAAGACATTGGACAGTCGCTCCTGGGTCGTATTGGTAAGAGAGGATTTAAATTCCTATGTTTAAGATTGTGATTGCCTTTGTATTTAATTTTATAATCTGTCTGTTTGAGAACAATTTGTAGTGCTCATCTGCGAGCTATCTGCTTCAAAAAATGTTCAGCTGCCAGTTGAATGTGACGCAGGTGAACCATTCTTAGCTTTTTTTTAATGGACTAGTGTTACCAGTAATTGATAGTAAGTAAGTGATGGTGTGAGACACAAAACAAAATGTCCTACCATGTAAGACCAAAGAAAACAAATTGGAGAATGATTAATCCGCCACTTGAACACTATCTAAATGACTCAGATTAGAAATTAATAATAAATAACGTTAAAAGAAGAATCATAAACTAACTCTGTGGTCAAATTGTAAATAGCTTTTTGTTAGAATTATAATCCCCTGTGTTGTTGTGGTTGCTGTGTGCTACTAAAAAATATACTGCTGGGACAATGTGAAAATACAGAAAATAGCCCAGGAACATACTAGTAATCCCTAACTTTATATTATAATAATAATTCTTAACTTTATGCAGTAATAATAATCTCTAACTTTATTTGAAACTCTATCCCATTGGAAAGATACAAAGTAAAAACGATAGCCTTTAGTTCGATAGCAGTTCTTCAACTAACCACTAGAGGGAAGCAGCCCCTTTTCCTCTCACCACGGAAGTGAAGGCCTGACTAGGCCTATTTAGCTGTAATTAAATCCCACAACACATCATATAGTTACTCTTTAGATTGCTGTACTGTTCCTATAAAACATTCAGCCCCCTGCCACCCATTGGGTAAATACCGTGTTTGAAGCAGCTGAGGAGGCTGCTGCTTAGGTTCTAATCTCTTCTTACTTGAATACGCTTTTCAAAAAGGATCATCTTGTTTTATGTGTCCACTCATGGAATTAGACAGAACAGCTGTTTCCATTTGCTGTAGTATGACATGTTCTCATCTCACTTTCTCTACCAATGTTATGAGGATTTCTGTCTGGATTTCTATCATTTAAAGGGTTTGTTATCCTGTACGTTTTAGGAAGCTGAAGAAGTAGGGAGAAGTTCACACTATTCACACAGTTAGGTATCTTTTGGTGAATCATGGCCAAGTCACAATATGGTCTGCTTGACTTATGACTTTTGACCTAATTTTATATTCACATATTGGTGTGTGTGTGTTGAGTATGAAGTCAAATCTGAGCAAGTGTCCCTTTATTGACAGACTCAGCATAAAACATGCACATATTGTTTTGATGTATTATTTTCAATAGACTGCACAGAAAAAAGCTCCCATATTAAATCTTTATTGGGGGTTAAAAGCTTTCTTTCTGGTTGAATTCTATCTCAGTGTAGTGGAAAGTCGAGATGATAATGACCTCTCGGTGAACAGAGGTGGTATTTCCCCTCTGACACAATGATAGTCTTTCACATCACTTGCAGGGTTGACACACAATTACAACCTCTGTGTGTGCCCGCAGATACATGCATACACTCACACGTGCACACGCAGTCACACACCAGCCTGGGCAATCAGCGTCTCTCCTCCCTTTGTGCTCTTTTCTCTCTCCGACTCTTAAAACAAATGCACTTTCACAAAGGGTCGACACTTAGACACTGAGTTGCTGTTGTCCTGTATGCTGATATTCTGATGAGGGGGCGCGGGGGGGGGGCAGAGTGAGCAGTGAGAGATGTCCTACAGTACCCTCCAACGACAACTGCTCCTTTGTGTCCGACTGTGTCCGTCTGTCAGGGTGATTTCCATTGTTGTTTTAAAGTTGACTTTTTGGCATACGCAGTTTTTAGCTTGTTCAAAATTTTACACGTCATTTCCACGGCACTACTGAAAAAGCCATTTTGTGTTTCATATAGCAGGAAAGAACTTTGAGTACATTTCAGACATCTGTCCTCTTGTAAAACGGATCATTCTCGTATTTCCAACTTTCACGAACTCTTGGCAAACTTCAGTCAAAAACCATCAAATCATGATGGCCGAAATCTCCGGTGCACACGAGAGACTGGTCATACGTCATGAGAGACGACACCAACGTGTGTACTTTTACTGACATGGGATCAATCCCAGCACCTTCTAAAATGTCAAAGGGAACACACAGCAGTGTGTTTTCCTTTTAGGGCTAGGGTTCAGACCCCTCTAGGTGGAGAGCAGAGCCTTGGAGCAGAGCCTCTGTTCAGCGGTCGCCCACGTGTTAACGGATGCTTTCTAACTTTAGGTGAATCCTTTATCTGCCTCATGGAACGATCTGTACGGCCTCTCTGAAAAATAGTGTCACTTATCTATCCGTTGTGTGTCCTTAAAGAACGACAGATTGCTGACTGTTATTTGTACGGGGTCGGACACTGTGAGGTCACTGTGTCAAAACCAGCCTGGCAAAGCAGCAGTGCTCATTCAACATCATGTCAGGTTAGCCGCCGGCTGTCGGAGTGCGGGGCTCAGGGAGCCTTCCCCTCAGGTGCCCAGATGATTAGCAGTTTCATATCAAAGGAACTGACCCCCTCCAGACCTCTGGGCCTATAAGAGCTCAAACCCTTTTTGATAATTCGCCTGTTTTCTTTCTAAAAAGCTGTTTATTTTTATATAGACACATTAGAAAACCCTTTAAAACATAGATAGCGATGGTTTGTTCTTCTGCTCTTAGCGCACACTGCATGTTAAGAATGCATTTTTTGTCCTTATTCAGATCATGGTCTGTTCAACGTTTGAGGATTGTTTGACATGTAAACCAGCGGGAGCTGACCCCGTAATCTGTGTATGTTCTGCAGCTGCTCTGAAGGGGACCACCACACGAGATCTCTACCCACAATTTGGTCTGGAACTGGATGACTGAAAAGAGGGAGGAAAAAGGAAACGAAACGTTGAGAACACTCCCCGAGAACACCAGTGAAGAAGACACCCTGAGTTAAAGGACCGTGGAATTATTTGACTGGGCAGATTTGGAAAAAGGGGTGCAAAGGAGTTGTGTGTCTCCTTTTGGAACTGGCTTTTTCATCTTCTACAAGGAGAGATTTGATTAAAGGCAGTGGTAACAAGAGGAGATCAGGCTTGTTCAGCATGCATGAGTGGCATTTAAAACATGCTTGCTATTAAAGTCTGTTACTGGAGGCAAGTGACAGTATTTAAATCGTCTCTTGAATGCACATGCTTGTGTGACCTAACGAAACTAACTGGAGATGTTTTGGATGACCGAAATAGTTGAGAGAGGCTGCATTTGTTAGTTATTTGTCGACAACATGTTACAAGTATAAAACTGTACAGTTAAATTGACAAACTCCGACTATAGTTGAGCAAATAACTTTTGGTATTTCCATCCCCAAAGGTTCCCAAATCCAAATATTATGTGTCTTCCTCCCCTATCATTTATTTTTTTTGAAGAAATTTTAAAAAAGCTTCACTTTTACATAGGGAAAGGGCATTCATTTTGAGTTTCCTGTATTTCTGCTCAGGCGCATAGAGCCTAACTGATAAAATGAGTATAATCTGCTTCCTTAAAGAAGCTAAATGAGTTATTTACCCAGAATGTTCTGAACGGACCTGAAGGCAAGCGGCATAATGTGAAGGGTGTGTCCTTATCTGCCCGCTGATAATGAGACTCTTACTGCTATCAGCAGAGTTTCACAACCAGCTCTTCTCGTGCGCCTGTCATTTGGCATCCGCACCAAGAAGTGTTGAAACTTTTTGCGTTTGAACTTTTAGCCCAGATTTGTATGTCAAAGTTTGTACTATTTTACCCTGATGATTGCATAATTTCCTCCAACCCCCCCCATCCTCCTCCTCCTTTAGTTATGGGAATAACTAAAATGAGCTGCTTGCCATAGTGATTCACAGGGTTTTGTTAGAGCAAACCTTCTGTAATCATCTGCTGTTTCATGTCCCATGGCTCTGACACACTGTGTTAAAAGTCATCCCCCTGGTGTTAACCCTAAACTAAACCCACAGGACGTTTTTTCTTTAACTGTATTTGCAGCAATCAGAAATCTGAGAACATTCCCAGTTTTGCACGTAATAATTGTCGGTTATGTCATCTAAGGAGAAGTTCCGCCTGAGCACCAGCCTGAAAACTGAAGACTTAACGGTGAATAGAAAATATGCAGGTCAAAGGGTAAGGGCTTCCAGTTCCACGGCAGATCTTTGTTGACTAAATTGAAGGTTAGTTTTTGGTATTGTTCTGCATCCTGAATATCTTCATTCCTCACTGACGGTCAGGTTCCCCCTCTGGTGACAGAGCAGAGGTGCTGAATGGACGGGGTGAGGCGGACTCTCCGGGGGTGGGGGGGGGGTGGGGAGGTAGGGTGTGGGGGGGGTAGGGTGTGCTTTTACGCCATCGGGCTCCACGCGCCGGCCTTGTCTCACGGACGGGCGGAGACTGCTGCGCTGAGCCGCATTTCCTCTCCTCTCGTGCCGCAGACCCCGCCCCTGCCGGATGGGATGTAGAGCCCCCCCCCCCCCCCCCCCCCCCCCCCCCCCCCCTCTTCCATTGGCCCGCTCAGCCGTCCGTCAGCGCTTATTCCTGACTCACTGATTTGACGCGGACGCCAGGAGGGGGGCGGGCTCAAGCTCAGAAAATTATAAGGTCATTTGAATTACGCCTGGCTGCGAGCTCACCGGCTACAATGGACCGGAGGATGGTGTAGCAGGGCACTGTGACAGCGGGCAGGGGATGATCGCGGGGTCACAGTCGACGCGCAGCGCCAGGCTTTTTCCGAGGAGCCCCCGACAGCGGGAGCAGAGCCCCGTGCGTGCGCCCGCTCCGTGCGCGTCTCTCTGAGGCTCGATCCGGCCAAGAGCTAGCGGCTGGGTGAAGAGCTGGGTGTCGGTTGGTCGCGCATAAGCCGATCAAGGTGGAAGCGCACACAGCGTCGGGGCTTCACGTTTTTTGGGGGATTTCGGCGCACCTATACATGCGGTAACGGCGTGAAGGAGGTGCAAGGTATGTAAAGGCAAAAAGGAAAAAACCCGGTCGTCCCCCCCGTTACAATCCAGACCGGCCGTCATGTTCAGCTGGGCCGATAGGTGGTTAGAATATAATATTTCACCGAGAAACGTAGGGGAGCTCGGAGGCTTTCTGCTCCTCTCCGACAGAAGGGGCGATGGGGGGTTGTTTTTTTTAGACCTTCCTTTCAGTCCCCCTCGGTCCTTGAAAGGTAAATTATGTATACGTGGAGAGCAGCGGCCGTTTGCCCCTAAAAGAGGCTGCTTCATGTCACACTGGCCGTTGGCCGCCTTAAGCCGACGCGCGCATTACGCAGCGCATCACGCCTCATGTCAGCGGCAGAGCCTCCCTCCGGCCGCGCGCTGAGCCGGCTCACGGCGGAGAGGCCGTTTGTCGGGCGCACATGGCCCGGAAAGCGAGGTAAGCCACAGTGGGCTGAGCCTTCCTCATTCACGGCCCCTACCGCAATATGATGCTGCGCGCTTCCTCAGATTTCCGGGTTCAGCGGCAGCGGCAGATGATGGGGCTTTTGTCTGGAACGGCTGCCCGTCGAGTGCGTCACTTTCCTTTGATACGTGACGTCTTCTCGCTGAAACTACCCATCCAGTATTCAGAGTGGACAGGTCGTCCACGCGGAGCGCATGTTCGTGCCGTGTATTTGGACTTAGGAGGCGACTAACATAATGAAAATGAAGCCACCATCATCATTACAGCTCCATGCGCGGAGGCAGAGTAATATACATCCACTCAGCATATTGATTCAGGGCAAATGGGCTGCCATGGAAACTGTCTGTTGTATGTGATGGTAAACAGAAATCAGCCACAGGCTGATCAATAAATAATGAGCAGACGTGTCATTTACAGTTTGGGATCGGCTTTCTAACTATCATTTACCACCCGCAACTAGTGTCAGTTCATACTGTCCTTTATTGACCTCTCCTGTTACTGTAAAGTTCCCCCTTTCAAATGGGATTTCCTCAAAGTCTCAGGCTTCACAGCATAGCGTTTCTGTTCTATTTTAATCGAGAGCTGACAACATTTGAGTGGTTTTATTCCATTTTATACTGAAGATGGTTCGGTCTACCCGAGCCCGGTCAGTAAACGGGCACAGCTGTGTAAATAAAAGCCCAGCAGATAACATTTGTTGGTTGTTGGCTCGGATACCAGTGTGATAATGCCGAGTCAGTATCATTTCAGCACCGCTCCGGCTCCGGCTGAGCTGATGCCTAGATTGAAATGTTTATGATTTGCGCACATAGTCTGGAGCCTGGTCGGTGCTATCTGCGTCTCTTCACGTGTTTGTGCATTCTTTCAGGATGATGCGTCTAGGATGCTGCACGGCCCTGCTGTTCGTGCTGCGGCTGCTGGTGGGCCTGCCCTGGTACCAAGTTCTTCCAGCCATCCTGATCTTTTACCTCGGAAGCGGAGGATGGAGCTTTCTGCACATATTTGCCAAAACAGTTGGCAGAGACTTACAGTAAGCATGGAGCCCTGTGTGCTCATCAAATGTAGGAAATTAATTGAATTTGACCCGCTTTTTATGTCAATTCAACCACACAATGATTCAATAATGGAGAGAACTGACAAATGTTGTAATATCCTAACTTAGACCCACTATTACAATGTGACAATATTACCCAATATTTACAGTAAAGGGTTACCGTGGTGACCATCATGTAGCTTACTTCCCCTTTTTAATCTTTTTTTTATTAGCTCTAGTAATATAAAACAAGAAGTTGTCAGATTTTATTGACTGGCTTAGGAGGAAAAAACAACAAAAGTGGTCTGAGTAAGAGTAGTTGTGGGGCATCTCTGTGATCCATCATATGCAACAAAAAAAAAAAAAGCCAGAGCTCTTCTATCGACCAGGGAGTTGAGTGGTACATTTTTCAAGGTTCCAATCTGAAGGAAATCTTCTGCCTTAAAAAAAGACATAGCATAAACCTTAATTAAAACTCACTCTTTTCAAGGAAACACACCATTCATTCTGTTTTAGATGCACATAGCTCTAAAGCCAATCCCAATGAGTTCCGATTTGTTATTTGTACAGTTATTAAGTTAGGAATTTACTATATTTACCCCTGACAAAGCATGCGTTTTCCTCAGTGACTCACAGGTTGTTAATGTGTAAAGTGGCTTGACAGGCCTTTGGTATTTGCACTGCAGGATCACAAAAGGGCCCACCTGATTTGCTTTGTGCACCTAACCAGCCCATTGTGCAAGCTGCCTTTTCAAAACAGGGTATCTCAGGTGTAAAGTGCCTTTCAAAAAACATAGTTCAAAATGAAGTTCTGTAGTACACATCTTTCCAAGAGTTACAGTGCTGACACTAGCACTGCTGAAAAGTCGGATGGAAAATAGAATGTACAAAGTTCATATATTTTGTATATATTTCTTCTATTACAATCGAAACAACCCAGAAAGTGTTATTATAGAAAAAGAAATACTGGACAAAGAAGCTGAACCACAATAAACACTTTTTTTATCTTTTATCTGGATCACCATGAAACTAATCATGTGTTGTAAAGTTATTCACCAAGACTACAGCTGAGGCAAGCAGTTATTTGCTTTTTGGTTTTTATTATATGTCTGTACTTATTCACGTCTCTGTGCTGTAAATGTAAAGTACTGAAAGTTGCTGTTCATGTAGACTTTGTCCCCATAGGCCTTTTCAGTGCTTTGCCACCGCTTTTTATGGCTTGTATTGTATTCCTGACGTAAAAAGATGACCTCAGCTTGGTTAAAATCATAGAAGATAATCCCCCTGATAATTAAAGTTGCGCACCATATTTGTTTGAATGGAAAGTACATGCTGAATTTAATAAGGCCTCTTTCATTAACTTGTGTAGATGAAGTGATCCAAGGCTGACGGTTGCTTTAAAGAGTGCTTTTAATTGCCTGTATTCAAGCATTTCTGTTTTCCCCTTGCTCCTCCAGTGCGGCGTTCGTGCTATTACGAGTGAAGATGAATGTCAGGCGCCATCTCAGGGAGAAGAACACCATCCCTAAGATCTTTGCAGAAACAGTGCAGCGGCATGGGGACAAAACGGCGCTCATCTTCGAGGGGACCGGAGAGAGGTGGACTTACCACCAGTTAGATGAATACTCCAACAGAGTGGCTAACATGCTGCTGGAACGTGGTTTTAAGGTACGCCAACCAAACCAAACCTCCCTTGAAAAATTGAAACGGAAACACATTCTTTTTAGCGGTAAATCTTTCGTGGAAGCCCTTTGTCTTTTTTTGAGAGAGTGGCTAACTTCACCTAGCTTCTGACAGTCACTACGATAACGTCTGCGTTGTTTGTTTCCTTCAGGAGGGCGACGTGGTGGCCCTATTCATGGAGAACAGATCTCAGTACGTGGGCCTCTGGCTGGGCATGGCTAAGATTGGGGTAGAAGCAGCGCTCATCAACTTCAACTTGAGACTTGAGGCTTTGGTCCACTGTGTTAACATCTCCAATGCCAAAGCCGTGGTGTTTGGCTCGGAGCTGACTGATGGTAAGAGTCCAAGTTGGACATGCATCCTCTTTATGTAGAGCATTTTCTTATGCCAACGGATGTGTTCCACTTCTGGGGAAATTAGAGAGGGGAAAGTCTGGAGTAAGCAGTTAAGGTGATAAAGGATAAATACATATCAGTAGGAGGAGCGAAGAGTCGTTAGGTCTGTATCATAAATATAACGTGTGTGTTCTAAAGCCAGATAAGCGATAAACTATAGGGGATAAGAGGCTGTAACACTAAGATGTTATCAAATTGATTCTCTTGTATGTGTGTAAAACAGACTATACATTGATATTATACCTGAAGTTCCTGTTTATCACTTGCTTTAGAAGAGATTAAAATATAATTAAATAGGGAATTAAAGTCACAGCAATTTATATTATTGTCCAGTGTAATGTTTCAATGAATATGAATTGCTGCACTTAACAAATTCATCCTCCCGTAACACCTTGGGGTTATTTATTTTTTAAATTAAAAAAATAATTAAGCTATGAGAAAGTAGTGTTGACTTGACATGAAGCTCAATTGAACCACACAGGAGTGAAACCATTTATTTAGATAGGTTTTTGTGATTTAGATGAAGGAAGTGTTGATCAGGCAGCAGTGTATTATTCAGTATATCGTCATTGTGTGTTACATTACTTTAATGATATGCTCAGAGGGAGCAGCTCAGATCAGCGGTCACTTAGAAGCTGAGGATCTGTTTCGCTCAGCTTATCTCTCCCTCTTAGATCCTTGTGCAATCTAAAAAAAAACGTTGATCTCAACAGCTAGGACGAGCGAATGACTTTTGAGCTGTTCGTTCTGAGATTTATGGACCGGTCTCTGGACAGGATCCTGGACCTGCGTGGTCCGTAATGTCTTTAAGTAATTGGAAACATGGCCTCTTTACAGTGATCGCCAAATTCAAACCGGCAGCATTAGTAGCGAGCCAGCAGGACACGAGGCTTTTACATTATGATACTCTGTCTGCTCTTGGAGGAAAATACAGCATTAGAGCTCTTTTATTTTCATAGGTTTCTTCTCTGTCTTTGTCACACACTGAAATCATACCAGAGGTCTTTTCTGTCTCACTTTTCATTAATTACTGTAATGTTTTTTCCCCCATTTTCACTCTCTAGCTATTATTAAAACATTTATAAAGACCCATAGACATTTTCTGTTACTTAATCTTCACATTGCCCTGTTGCATTTTGGGACTGTGACACAAATCCTGTGCTCTAAGACATGTTTGTGTTACTCTCACAGCGGTGTCTGAGGTCCACAGTTCAATGGGGAAAGCGGTGCAGATGTTTTGCTCTGGAGAATGGGACCCCAAACGAGTGCCACAGGGAACCGAGTGCCTAGAGCCCCTGCTGGACGCTGCCCCCTCTTACCTGCCCCGACGGCCACAGCGCTGCTTCACAGGTGGAGAGGCCCTGCTCATTACATTTTTAAGAACTGAGTTATTGTGATGACGTATAAGCCTTAAACAAAAATATCCTTTTTGTTATTCGTAAAAAAAAAGCAACAACTTATAACTATAAATTATATTCAACAGTGCATTACTAACACTGAATAAAAGTAATAGATTTCATTGGTTCTGGTTCCACTATACTCCATATTTTATTTTTGCCTGCTCTATCACACCTAATGCTAATGAATGGGGCCTGGCCAACCCCCTGCAGAGCCTAAAGAGATGAAGAGCTGTCCCATTTATTTCAATCAAGTGTGCTGGAACAGGGAAACTTGGAAAACGTGCAGGACGGCGGTCCTTTGGGACCGGGGTTGGGAAACATGTGTTGGATGAGTAAGACTGGATGCAATGTTTTTGTGTTCATATCGCTCAGACTCACAGAGGCCTTTCAATTTGGAGTTACTGTTAGGAAAGAAAATTGGCAAATGCTAGAATTCCCAACTAAAACAAAAGGTTTTAACTCCAAACACTGTAATGTTTTGACTTGATCTTCTTAATCGTCTGAAGTATGTAAGACTCCAGTGAACTTTCTTTCAGTTTGAGGTGGCTGTTTATATGCAATTCTTAAGATTTTTGTAAACTTAAATTGTTATTTCATGTACTCGTCTACATCAGATAAAATTACACCTTGTTCTACTTTATGGTCAAATTACTGCTGCCATTTTCGTCAGTATCTGCATGGCTGTTGTAGTTATGCAACGATAGGTCTCCTGCTTATGCTTTATTTCTTTGTGCGATAAAGCCTTCCACCTTTGGTCATACACACTGCAACTTATCAAGATCTAATCGTTTGGAAAAGAATTCAGAGGTGATTTGAAATCCCTCTGTGTGCAATTTTACTAGGACATGTAAGTGAGAGTTGCTGTAATCAGTGGCTGCTTAGTCAGCTCTGTACAAAGCTGATGTGACCCATAATGCCCACAAAGCAGATTTATCTTTAGCAAACAAGTTATTAACTAACCAACATGAATACAAAATGGGTTTTCATCATTATTCAGGATTGGTGGTGTAAGGAGGGCCTCACTGGTTACTCACTCACTTGATTTCTCTTCACTCTGCACTTTACCTTGAGATAGGAGAACATGTATAAAAAGAAAACCATCTTTTCTCTTCCTCAATCCCTCAGAGCTTTCTCAAAATGAGCTCACAATTAAAAATGGGAATAACCCTTGTGCATTAATGAAAGCCAAGAAATCCTGAACAGTTCCAATTCCTAGTGTCAGTTTAAAAATAGTGGGAATCCAGGCTGTCCTTTTAAACTGGGCCTTGTTGTCACTCGTGCTCAGACTTCTAACTAATTACGCAGATAGCACACGTGTGTGTGTGTGATCTCACTCGCTGTGCTTTTTGTTTCAGACCGCCTGTTCTACATCTACACATCAGGAACCACTGGGATGCCTAAAGCTGCTATTGTTGTGCACAGCAGGTAGGGAGAAGGCGTGCAGCTCGCTAACCGACAAAACGGCACCTCTGCTGCTCTCTTTTGATCCTCGTAGCTCTCATGTGTTCAAATAAGAGTGAAAATACAGTGAACTTTGCGGCTTTTGGTGATCCTTCTTTTTTTCTCTTACCCTGCCTCTCCCCACCCCGGTTTTCAGATACTACCGCATGGCTGCTTTGGTGTATTATGGCTTTAGGATGACATCAGACGACGTACTGTATGACTGCCTCCCGCTCTACCACTCAGCAGGTACGTATAATGGAACTCGGTGGTACAGATAAGAACTATCTGGCAAACATTTTCAGAATTAGTGAAAAAGAAACAAAATTGAGTACAGCAACGGGCATTACTCGAGGCCAGTGTTGAGCACCTTTTGTAGCACTTGGAGTCCAGACACCTGCTCTCTTGCTGTGTTCAAGTAATACTAGCTTTCATTCAACCTTGTATGCAAAACATTCCTGGTGCGTTAGAGTGAGTTTAGATTGTAGTAGTCGAATAGGATAGGGTTACAGTTGTAGTCCATGCAGATCAAGGAACACACACATTCCAGCCTAAACAAAGCACCAGAATTTGCCTGTGACCACACCAAGGCCACTTCCTCTAAAAGGGCTCGGTGTCACATTGGATGTCACTGAGCATGATTTCTGTGTTCCGCAGTATGAGGAAACAATCCAAACTCTGATTTCAACTGAAATTAGTATTCGGGGCTGAAAAATTCTCAGTATGCTAATTTTCAGTCAGAATTTCATCACATTTATTTTTGTTGCTTGGCTTTTCAAATCTATAGGGGGAAAACGGGGTCCTTTCCAGAGTTCATCTACAATTTTGATGACTCCGAATAATTGTCTTGCCAATGTCTGCCGCCTGACCCTTTCTATTGTTTGTCTACAGGAAACATTGTGGGAGTGGGCCAGTGCATCATACACGGCATGACTGTGGTCATCAGGAAGAAGTTCTCTGCGTCGCGCTTTTGGGACGACTGTGTCAAATACAACTGCACTGTGAGCATCAGATACCTGACCCCATGCCTCTATGAGAAGCATCTGGCCGCAGTCTCAGCGCTGCCAAAGCTAACAGCTTATTGCCGTAAAGTAACTTGGCAATTTATGTCGCTCGTCCTCCTTAGATCGTGCAGTACATTGGTGAGATCTGCCGTTACCTGCTGAACCAGCCGGTCCGAGACACAGAGCGACAGCACCAGGTGCGCATGGCGCTGGGCAACGGCCTGCGCCAGTCCATATGGGAGGAGTTCATGAAGCGCTTCAACATCCCACAGATTGCAGAGTTCTACGGAGCCACAGAGTGCAACTGCAGCCTGGGCAACTTTGGCAACAAGGTGGGGGACACGTCCGGCAAAGAAGTGCCGACAATTCTCTGACTAAACTAGTTTGAAGCAAAAAAAACGCCAGCGTTTCTTTCCCTGTTCGCGTGCTTAAATTGACATCGCTCATGTGTAACTTGGCTCTGTTGTTTGTGTTTCTGCCTTTGATCCCGGGCACCATACTCATGCCGTTTGGCTGTTGATCTCCTCTCTGTGTGGTAGGTTGGAGCCTGTGGCTTTAACAGTCAGATTCTACCCCACATCTACCCCATCAGACTGGTGAGGGTTGATGAGGAGACCATGGAGCTCATTAGGGGACCAGACGGTGTCTGCATTCCTTGTAAACCTGGTGGGTTTTATTGTGTAAACATTTCAAACATCCATTTCACGTTTTATATGCTTGAATCTGCTCACGTAGTGCTGGTGTTTAGTGGAAATTAAATCCAAGTGGTGCCCACCACAACTAAGTTGTAAAAAATAAAAATAAAAATGTTAATTTAATGATCAGCTTCTTGTTTGATAAGTATATAGCAAAACCTTGTGGTTTAACTTGGCATAACCCACTTTTCATCCAGCCTTTTAAATACATGCTTACATGGAAGATATTCATGGGTACTCTTTCTGAAATTCCCATAAGCTAAAAGAATATGCTCTTTTGTTTTAGGTGAGCCTGGCCAGCTTGTCGGCCGGATCATTCAGAACGACCCCCTTCGCAGATTCGATGGCTACGTCAACCAATCAGCAACCAGCAAGAAGATCGCTCACAGTGTTTTCAAGAAAGGAGACAGCGCCTATCTTTCAGGTTTGCATTACTCAAATACACACGTGTGAAGAGGAGTCAGTCGCTACATTTCCCTCTAAATGAATCACTTGCTTCTCACCAGGTGATGTATTGATCATGGACAAGTACGGCCACATGTACTTCAAGGACCGGACAGGAGACACTTTCCGCTGGAAAGGAGAGAACGTGTCCACGACAGAGGTGGAGGGAACTCTAAGCAGGCTGCTAGACATGAAAGATGTGGTTGTTTATGGAGTAGAAGTTCCAGGTAAAGCCTTTTCCCTTCAGTATTTTATACTCTTCTTACTTGATATATAAGTAGTATTGCATAGATCTATTTTTTTCTGAAACTTGGATTTAGAAAAAAAAAAGATTTTTTTTTTCTTTTCTGTTTAATGTATTTTACCGCTCTCTGTACAGTCGTTTGTCAGTTGCGTCTCATCTGTCTTCACTCCTGTGTGTCAATGCACTGACTACCAAAGCTATGAGTTTCCCCAGCATATATGTTTATTTCTATAAATAAACATAGCTTTATTTAAAACAGCCGCCTCACCGTTCTCAGTACCTTGAAAATCAAGTAAAAGTAATTATTTCCTTTGTGCAAATGTTAACCAAACTGGAATTCAATTGAAACAACCACCTGAATATATTTTAAAACATGGTTCTCTGGTGGGTTTAAGAGTAAACCTAATCTACATTTGGCAAGTAGGAAACAATGTTAAACAAAGTGGTTATTACTACAGAGGTAATGCTATGTCTTATTCTTAATCTACTGTGACAGTAGATAAGTTCTAGCAATTTGAAACGTCATCATCGTAAAGTTCCAGCGTAATTGAAGCTCCAGCGGCACCAAAGACAAACCACAGATGCCATTTTCCACTGGCTGTCATTTGATTACTTCACCACTCCCTGAAGGGGGATACTAGACTGGCAATTTAAGCACGGTGACGATTAGCTGAGGCTGCACAGGCGGACACACCAGCAGCGAGTTTGACCAGAGTGGGCCAACACAATGAGTTGAAAACATATAATCAGATCAATTAAGTGATGTATTAAAGGCGAGGTAAATTAGAGAGTCCACACGGAGATGCTAAAATTGTGTTTCTGTGTTTCATAAAGAGTTTTTTTTAGATGCATTACTGGCACTTTGGCCTACAAACCTTTATCTGATCCTGCATGGCGTTAGTCCTTTGACCTGTTGGTTTCTGTGTGCACAGGAGCAGAGGGAAAGGCTGGAATGGCAGCTATTGCTGATCCGTCTCACTCCACTGACCTGGAGAAGCTCATCAAAGACATGGAAAAGGTCCTGCCTCCCTACGCCAGACCTGTGTTCCTCCGCTTCCTTCCAGAGGTCAACAAGACAGGTAAACTGTTTTTTTCCCATTGTATTTCGAGTGATAGAAATGAGAAAAGGATCCCATCTAGTCTTTGAGAATCTCACTAATCATTGAAAAAGACAATTAAAAAGAGCTCTCAGAATAGTATCCAGCTTCTAGCAGAACAACACAAAGATCTTTCTTATCAGACATTTAAAGTAACTTTGTGGAATTGAAAATGGGAAAGATTTTTAGTTTATTTTAAACCTTTCTCAATCCAGAGTTTAGTAGTAATCAGTGGAGAGAGGAATGCCCGCAAACCTTCAGTTTTTTTTTCCTCCTAACTCCCGACAAAACGCCAAAAAAGATTGGCAAAATGGCAGCATTCACACATGTTCTTTTCGTGTTTCTTTTTCAGGAACTTTTAAGTTTCAGAAGACGGACTTGCGACGCGACGGCTTTGATCCCTCTGCAGTGTCGGACAGACTGTGCTTCCTGGACTCCAGCAGAGGGCGCTATGTGCCACTGAATGAAGAGTTGTACAACTCCATACTGTCAGGGAAACACAAATTGTGATGACCAGGCCGGCCAGTGCATCTCCACATACATATTGATATGAATACATATACAAATGCAAAAAAAAGAGGACAATGTGGCGTGTCCGGGTTAGCAGAACCATGTTTTTCCCCCACAAACACAAATCCCTAAAGTAATAGCCATACACTTGCACACGTTTTCATATTCTACTCCTTTACCGGCTCGGATCTTTCAAATCTTTTTAAAAAACGCAGACTTGTAAGCAGCACATGCTCCGCTCTAACCACACCCGTAAGTCTCCCCAGCAGCTCCTCTCGCTACCTCAGCAAACACAGAGAGAGAGGCACAAACGCAGTAACCAGGTTTATTTGATGACTTGAAACATCCCTTCGTTGCCACACAGCTCGCGGACCCAACCCCCCCCCAGACCCGTCAGCACTGGTCCATCACCCCGGCGGTTTTCGCTGGACATGGAGCGAGGAATGCAGGTCTGCCTGTCATCCAGAATGCAAAAACGTTCAACTCCAGATAAACACAAAATGTAAAGGATACTGAAGAGGAAACCCCAGTACTGCACATGAAGGACAACAGAGGGACCTATGTGGATCCAAAACTGTGTCTGCTCATCGTTATGCTAGTAGAGTTATGTTGTGAAAGAGGGCGATCCCTACTTTTGACTTAACCTGCACAACCAGCCAGAAGTGACAAACCAGTGAGAATTCCCCTCTGTGAGGTTCAGATTATGAGTGTGATGGAACGGTCATGGCGTCTTATTTTCTTTCTTTTTTTTCATTCAATGGGAACAACATAAAAATGTGATAGCAGCCGTGTTCTGAATCAGAGTGGTTGAAGCTTTAATGTGCAATAGAGCTCCAGCGTATGCAGTGCAATAATTAGCAACAAAACAGGTGATATACTTCAAAGGTTTTTATTTGAATGTCTGCAACATACCAAATATCTTTAAGTTCTAGTGTTTACATATTTTAGAAAATATGAACATATAATTTTCTTTCTTTTGCTGTTGTTGTGCAATGATTTTTGTATTTGATTTATTTTTTTCTGCTATATTTGTAACCAAATCCATAAACTAGCTTTTTGAGTCTATGAAAAACAAAGCTGCAGAATGCATTTTCTATCAGCTGCTGGAGCACAAAACAAGGCCATCTAAATGATTCAACCCTGGGCTAAGTAGATGGGGTAACTATCACAAACAGGACTTGTTCACACACTGAGCTGGTACACACCTTAGTTGTGTTGCTATATTGTGCAGGTTATGTCTTTTTAAAAAAGCAGACTTTGCCTGTCTTAGGATGAGTGTATGTGCATTCTTCTAAGACATGTAAAGAAGAAAATAAAAATAAAAAAACTTCCTATCCAGTTCCTAAGAGGGATGATTTGCCAGATTGGGGCAAATTTAGCCATCCAAAGAAGCAAGAAACAGGAAGTAGGAACATTTGACCTAGAAGGGATGCATCGTTATAGATCATGAATATGCTTTGTGATTATTGTTCTTGTCCATCGTTTGCAGTAGCTATCGTCAGAGGTTGTAGCAGCATGAATGAGCATCATCAACCACATGCAGAGCACTGTGCCTTACTGTGAGTTCACCTCCCAGATTCACAGGCCCTGGCCCTCACATTTATCTCAGAGATTTATTTCGCATGTTCACCTGTTCTCATTAAGTATCTGTTGTTTGTTTTTTTGGTTGGTTTTTCCCCGATTTGTCCAAATTCTTTGTCGTAGCTGCCTGACCAAACTGACCTAAATTACAGGGATCTAAGATTTTAGTTCTGGGAATCCTTTGCTGAGGACCTATGACACCTATGAAAGGTGCTGGCAAATCTTGTGTCTCAACGGGCAAAAGTCTGAATTTTGCTGCTCAGCATTTTCTTTACTCACCTGGTCTTGAACCTTAACCGTTATTTGATTCTCCCTTTAGATTTGCTTTGTGTTATAGTAAGTGTCCACTTTCCAGCACTTTTACTTTAAGCCTTTGTTTATTTCTTCCAACCAACCAGCCAAACCTTTTCCATTCGTTCATCTTTCCCCCTGTTGTCTGTCTGACTGTAGCTTTCCATGCCCTCTAGCAGCCACCTGTTTTATCCTTTTTAATTTCTTTTTGCCATATCCGCCTCCTCATTCATTCGGACATAGGGTTAAAATGGTACTTGAATGCTTACCATACGACTTTGGAGTATGAAGGTGTATGAACACTGTTGATTTTACTGTCAACCTTTGAGATAGCCCAGGTGTGCTGGTGACCTAAGGCTCAAATTGAACAAGTCATGAGTCATTTCAAGTGTGTTGTGTCTGTGTATTGTGTGAGGTCGGCCATCACGTCGACTCTTTCTATTTACATTTCAGCTGATCCCGTCATAAGTCACCTACAGTCGAGACTGACAGACTGTACCTGTCGTAAAGTCCTTTTTAAACCCGGCTTAAGTTTAGTGGACATTATCATTTATACGTTTTTCAGGGTTGGTGGTGTCTACTTTGTACTCTGCAGACTGGTTTTCTTAGTTAATGTGTTGCACTGACTGACACAGTTCATCTGGCATGGTTGGTGCTGATAGCAGTGGTCAGTTTCTCTCGCCCATCTTTCCCCCCATTCAAGGCGGGGGAAAAAAGACCGACACGGTCATTTTGCAGGACAGAAACTGTTCCTTCTTCTTCTCTCCCCCTTACCTGTATTTATTCTTTAATGATGAGTGTGAAACGTTCTCATGAATGTGTGATAAAGGAACAAATGACTGATGATGGTGTTTTGTCGTAAAGTGTGATTTGTGTGTCTAAGGGAACACTGTTGGGCTGTTATGATGCTTCTGACCAAGGGTTGGGTTTGTCAATTCTGACCAATCAGGGGGCGGGTGACTGAACAGCCCCAAAGGGCAGCACTCTGAAGAAGATGTTTCCATTTTTATTTTTTTAAATGAGTTTAAATTATCTTTTCTTTTTTTTTAAAAAAGTACTGTTAATTATGCTTTGATTGTGTCACTGCTATATATGTTTGCTTTTTGTATATTTTGCGAGAAATCATAGCTTTGCGATTTTGCTATAAAAGGGGGTTCATGTGTGAATGGACGACAATCGGCTGGCTGTTTCTTTCCCCCCTCCTTTGTTGAGATGCACTTGAAACCAGCCAGGGATCTGCCTTCTTAGGCAAGGAAAAAAATGGTTGTTGATGGTGATGTAGATGTTTGTTTGCCATTTCCAAGTTAATAAATATTGACAGTCAAAAAGAGGCATACGAAAGTTTTCATGCCATCCTTTTATCTCCAAGAACTACAGTTGATATTCTTCTGATAGAAAATACAAACATAATGTATTAGATATAAACTACAGTTTTGGATTTTTAAACATTCCAGTGTTTGTTTGTTTTTTTAACCTTTGGCTGTTTCTATTTCTGACAGACAACATTCTCACTCCCCAGGCATATTACATGACTAATTAGACTAGTATAGAGAGCAAACACCAGGAACAGCAGCCTCTAAAGATCCAGATTTGTATGAGAGGCCCTCTGAGCCCGATTTAAACTCACCCTTTTACACACACACCTTTATACTGCCACACATATATCATCATCTAGTTGTCAAAGCTTAGTTATCATACTTTACCTGTAACTGTGCAAAACAACATTGGAACCTTAGGTAAACAAAGAGTAAAGAAGGCTTAATGCAGTCATATTTACACTTCTTGAACCATTTATGGAAACCATAAATGGTTCAACATAAATCCTGAGCTTTTCTGAGAAGATGGGAAAGGAAGGGTCCGAAAATCACCATTCATATGGCAGCTTACTTTTCAGATTGAAGCAAGACTCCACAGTCACAGAAATTCACCAAAGCTAAAAAGATTTATCAGGGGGAGAGCTCTGCCAAGAGGCCAAAGGTAATGAGTACAAAGCTTGGCAAGAAGGGCCGGAAAAGAATGCAGCTCCGTAGGGGTCATGCCACAGGACATGGCAGTCTCCAGGCTCTAGATGGGATCTGCTGATGTGCTAGAAATAACTCGCTTACCATCTATGTTTAAAATGTTCCCCACAGAAAAACTGTACATGAACTGCACACGGTCTCAATGGCAAACTGAAGGCCTCATTAATTTTAGTTTTTGTTTATTTTGTCTGCTATTTCAAGCAGCAGAGCTATGTTTTGTTTTAGAATTAAACCAATTTTAGTTTAACTCTAAATTCATGGGCCTTAAATTAGATACCATCACATCAGTGTACAGCCTAAAAGTCACTCCATTCATAGTCTGTAATAGAATATGTGTAAGAGTTTAGTAGTGTTTGTGAGACCAAGTTTGAATAATGGCTGAAGGGGCCTTCCACGTGTCACATGGAATTTACTGTAACTGTTCTGCTTCCCTTTTTAAGCAATTAGCTGGAAAGCTGATTGGGCAAATGGTGGAGTCAACAAACCACATATATGGATGTATCTGTGTCTGAAATCTATCTTTAATGCAAAACAATGATTTATCTATTGATTTTCTTGGCTTTCTTGATTACATTACTTTGATAACTATGTAAAACCACTTTCTTTTTGACACTCTTACTGGGAAAAGGAACAATCTCCTTGAAGAGATGCAATAATGAACACATTCAGAGTAGAATAGAAACTGTACACACTTTATTTTGACTTGATGCTGGCTTTGTGTTATCAGAGTTGGTTTAATGATAAAACCTGGCTATCAGAGCCACTTTTCTGGCGTTGCGTATCTCCTGTGGTTTGGTCCTCCTGATGTGACACCATGAGAGCCTTGACTTGTGACAACAGCACTTGAATCTCAGCTGATCTGAGCAAACCACAAGCATGACTTACAGTTTTCCTGAGAAGTCTGGGCTTTTTTTTCCTCTTTTTTTTTAAATGTACGTTTACAACACTTGGCTTCTGTTCGAAGATCCTTAGCCACGATTGGCTGACAACCAGGTGGGTGGATCAGCAGTGAAAGCAAATATTAACACAGGTTTTGCCACTCTGTCAGTTGAATTTGTTCAGTCACTTTAGGCACAGGTCAGAAGCCCTGTCTCAACATTTCAGCACATCTACTTCACCGCTTTGCTCCTCCGCAGCCATGAGGGCCTCCGTTGCCATGGTGATGTTGTGGGTGATGATGATACGAGCAGATGTGAAGCCGCAGAAAGACTTCAGTCTACAGAAGGTACGAATGACCGTATGAGTTTGTGTGAAATGATTGTTGATTGATGGTTTGTTGTTGTTTATAAGGTGGCACCATCTGTGAGGGACGACGTACGCTGGTGTGTTTAAATGTGTGTTTGGAAGACCTATGGCACAGCTACTCTTGTAGTTCTAGTTATAGTGCTGGTACTGTCACACAGATTAGTTTTAGGGTGGAGCATATATTACAAAGAAAGACCTTTTGTTTACTGTGCCTGATTTGACAGCCTGATGAGATCACCCCATGGCCATCAGAAAGTCACTTCTAACAAACTAAAAAAATAGGGTAAATTATTGGTGTTTGTTTGTTTGCTTTTTTAAAGAAGTGTTTAGTATTTAAAGCAGCTATGTATAAATGCCATTTTCAGGTAAATACTGTGCCAAGCAGTATGGATTTACAGCTTGGCACACCATCAAATGTTTCATATCAACATTGCATATCCCATTGGTCTATTTGGAGTCTGCCCCATATGCACCACCTAAAATGTTCTTAAATGTTTCCTAAAAGTATTTACAGGTTCAAATAGTCATGGTAGTATCTATCTATCTATCAATCTATCGATCTATCGATCTATCGATCAATCTATCTATCTATCTATGGAGAGAGAGAGAGAGATATTCTCTTTTTTCTGGTAAAAGTCTTTTGTAAATGTTTGTATTGCCCTGTGAGTTCTGAGAAATCATGTGACCTATGCCTGATAGACTGTAAGTTGAGGTGAGATACTGCAGTTGAATGCAGTCACATTTTCTGAAAACCTATACCAGAAATATATCAGAAACATGAACTTCAAATGTTTGGTAAACATTGTTGGCATACTAGACTCAAAAGTTGCTTCATTAAGTTTTTCTCTTTTAAATATGTGTTAGAATCAGAAAGCACTGTCAAATCTCACTGTGAAAAAAAGATCAAATCCTTCTAACATGAGCTCAAGATTATTTATAGATTTACAAATCGAAAAGTCAGGTGATTGTTAAAAAAGAATCCGTCAGATTTACCTAGAATTAATTGGAAACTATTGTTTTGGGTAGACACCTTCATTTAAAGATGTCCCCATGAAACTTATCCCAATGATTGCTTAACATATTTATTTATTTACCATTACGTTGTTATGTTCTGAAACTTTGAGTTGGAGGACATTAAATGGAAGTGAAATGATCAAGGCAGAATAACCCAGCATCTCAGAACTTTTGAGAAAACCTGCTTTTGCTGCATCTCTCCTTAAAACATGTATGCTTTGTGTGCACGTGTGTGTTCAGTTTTCTGGGAGGTGGTTCCGTGTGGGCCTGGCCTATGACTCTCCAGGATTTGTGCCCTACAGAGACAAAATCAGTGCCTCCATGGGCATCATTACCCCACTGCCCAATGGCAATGTAAACCTCACAATGTGGGAAGCCACGTAAGTCTGTGCACGGATGCTCCACAGAGCTAACCGTGGCAGTGGGAAATGGGGGGAAAGTCAAAAATTAACAGACAGACATACTGATTGCTACTTTTTCTCTGTGTGCTTCAGACCTATAGGCTGTATGATTAAAAAGTATCAGTATGACAAAACCAACGTTCCCGGGCAGTTCAACTACTTCAGCACACGTGAGTCCCTGATGTTTAGATCACAATGAAAAATGGAACTGAAGTGGCGTTCAAGACTTTTATCAACAACAATACAATAATTTAACTATTACTGGCTCAATTTAAACAGAGAGCGTGAATTGAATTCAGTTTTGACATATTTATGAACAAATAATCCCACAGAACAAATAAAGAAACAAATGTGACTATAAACAAAATGACTAAATCTATCCAATCTAAACTCTATTTAGCTGATCTACCTTTTGTTCATTTTTCTGCCTATTGGTATTGGGATTGAATCATCCAGTCCAAGAGCTGATTGTGGCTCTCGTCTGTGTTCAATTTCTCTTGTTCAATTTAGGTCACAACATGATGAAGGATGTGACCGTGGTGGACACAAACTACACCGACTACGCACTGGTTCTAAAGCACAAGGTCTTCCACAGGGAGTACACGCAGGTGGCCCTTTACGGTGAGACATACAAAAAGGGCAATAAGCGCGAAGCGTTCCACAGGTTCTGAACCAGTGTAGTTCATCTGTCTTCCATCGGCAGGTCGCTCTCAGAGAGTCCGGAATGACATCCTACAGAAGTTCAAAGCCTTTGCTTTGTCCCAAGGGTTCCCCAAAGAGTCTATTCTGACTCCTCCACCAGCAGGTGAAAACGAAAGATAACAGAAAGCATATAGTACACATAAAGTATGGACTGACAGTTAATATGGAGAGCTAAATCATCCTGAAGTCTTATTTGAACATTTTTGTGCCTACAGAAAACTGCCCCCCCTCAGGATCCACACGCTAGGTGAGCCAATATTCATTTTCTTGAAGCGTGAAAATCCGAGAGGTTCTTTGTAAATTTCGACGTGTGCAAGTATGTATTTGTGAATGACCTGTTACCAACTACATTTTGCTTTAAATAAATCCATTTTCCACTTGTAGGTTCCTTTCTATGGGTGGGATGAAGGAGCCAGCCTGAATTCTAATGAGCTGTTTCAGCTCTGAGCATTTATTATCCAGTTATTCAAAGTATTACTCAGATCATACAATCATCTTAAAAATAAGTAGTAGATACTGCCAGTGGCATTTATATATTGAGTTCTTTTTATGATATTTCATATGTTTATTTTTTTTCCCCACTTTCCTCTTTATTGAAAATGAAATAAAACAAATTTTACCTTCTGGCTTTTTGTCCACGTGTTTCTGTGCATTAAAAGGATGAAGTTCACTTCTCTTCTCATAAAAAATTATCATAATTCACTAGTGTAGTGCTTTGAAACTAAACTAATTTCTACAGAGTGGAAATGTTCTACTATAATAAGGGGATCTTAATACTTTTTCTGTGTTCAATATGTGTAGAAATATCTTCATTCTGGCAGTCTATTGGTCTGGAACATATTTACGCATCTCGCTTCAAGTGGTAAAATGACAAAATAGAAGAGCAGAGTTCCACATTTTTCATTTTTCAGACTCTGATTAAAAAATGTGTCTATCTGATGGAAGCCTAAATTGATATTATTTTTGCTGGTATTATAAAACTGGTAGAGGGTAACGCTGCCCTTTCCCCACTTAATATCAGTTAAGAGCTACCAGGTATTGATTGGTTGGATGTTTTAGCCTCAAATTCTGAAGTCCAAAACAACAAGCACCCTCCTGTGGATAGACACAAAAGAAAAGATAAAGAGATGCTCAGAACTTTGCTCTCTCAGTGGAGCATTTGTGTGACGTAGTGGGTGGGAATTCACAAAACCAACACAGTCTGCAGGCCGGTAGTGGTGGTGGCAGCGGGCTGAACCTGCATCCTCTCAGAGACGCAGAGTCCCATCAGGATGAAGCAGGCGGGCTGTCTTCTAGTCTTCGTGTCAGCCTGGACCATCCTCTTGATTCCTGTAGTGGAACAAAGTCCAGTTCTGACACAGGACGGCTTTGACTTGGAGCGGGTGAGTGGCTGAGATACAGTCAAGAAATTGCAATTGTTCTTGTATTTTTAAATTCGGTTTCCTTTTGTATCCTCAACAATGTGTTACCAGTAAAATGATCCAAACAGAGTCTACCATCTTTTCTCCATTAAAGACTTGTTTTTCCATCTAGTGAATTTTGCCTTTAAAAGATTTTTATCAATCAGACAACGTTTTTGCAGTTTTTCCCAAATATCTGTAGATTGTTGGTGTCTTGGTTTTGCTTCCCAACTGCCAGCTGAGCTATTCTGAAGTGTGCTAAACAGGTGTGTTCCTGTTGCAGTTTATGGGGAGGTGGTATGAAGTGGCAACGGTCTCTACCTGCCGCTTTTACATGCAGCGTAAGGAGGGGAACCCTGCCATCGTCGCACTTGAGCTGAAACATGTCACTTCCGAGCAAAACTTCACAATGGCATCATCTACCCTCAGGTCAAACATTCATGTTTGTTGTTTGACACAACATTACAACCATGTAACTGATGACTTTGATGAAGCTGTGTTATATTTGGTTGACTCGTAGAAATGGCACCTGTAAGGAGACCTCCACAGTTTATAGCTTGACGGACTTTCCAGGACAATTTTTCCACCATGTCGCAAGTACGTAGTTCCTGTATTTATTCTTGCACATCAATTTCATGTCTCAGAGATCTTAAAAGTTCTCTGGAAAAGAAATCTCTCTTTTTTTAAGGGGAAATTCCTCTCTGTAGGGTTTGGAGCTGATGTTGATTCCTATGTGGTTCACACCAACTATGATGACTATGCCATGATGTTGCTGTTGGGCACAGAGAAGCCCTCTGGGATTAAAACCACCACAGTCAAGCTTTACAGTGAGTTTAAGTCCAGACATTTTAACCATGAAGTGACTTTTTTCATGTTTTTGTAATGAAGATAAAGCAATGGCAGATACAGCACACTGTTAGGTCCTAGTGGAGCATATGCAGTGCCATGACTGGGGTTTCAAAATGGGCTGCAGTTGATAATCCATCAGACGAACCGTTCCATTACTGATCACTGACTTCATGTCATGGACATTTTGGATTCAAGTTTGTGGTACTGTAAAGTGACTAGTGTAAAGAGAAAAAAGTTGAATGCTTGAAAGATACCGTGATTAGATCAGATAATTGGATCAGAGACCTACATTTCTGTGATTATTTCCCTCCATGATTCATCCTGATGTCAGCCTAAATCTGTGGTCTGTCTGAAAATACATTTAAAACTTTTAGTTGTCTGTAATAAACTATTTGATAATAATCATTTGTGCTAAGTTGACTTAAATCAACTTCAAATATCAAACAAACAGGCAAAATATAACATATATATATAAATGTAAAAGAAAAAATATTCCAAATTCCTTTTCCTAGGTCGAACAGAGGAAATGGATTCTACTGTTCTGAACCAGTTCAAAAATCTGGTAAGACAACATGGAATGAAGGATGACAGTGTCATCATCAACCATTACAAAGGTACACACAAATTCTCAGAGGAAAACATTATACTGTACATTTCTACACTCTTAGATGCAGCTGTACTTGCAGCTGGTTTGTGTCTGTTTGCTTTTAGCCTCTATCATCTAAGCAGCATCACTCCCTCCTAATTGATGATTTATTGGTCTGGGTTTATTGTGGTATAAACATTTGTTTTCAGGTTTTTTGTTTAACTTTGCTAGGAATTTCTTTCCGGCTGAGTTTTCAGTGAACATTCCCTTTAGCTAAGAATAAATCATGACTAATAAGGTATTTTAACCTCCCTCTGCATCTTTCTGTCTTCAGGTGAGTGTGTTCCAGGTGGACAGGTGAAGAACACCACTGCTTAGCCTCAGGTAACTCTTTCCCAAGGTGATCAGTTCAAAGCCATGAGTCCGTGTTCATTTTGGGTGATCAGGCTCTCATTTTGATTTCTGTTTCCAAGAGGCCAAAAAGAAGCATACAGCCACCTGCCGGTGATGTTTGACCAGAAGAAGGCAACTGATTCATTTATCCTAACAATGTGTAAACAAAGAGATTTTTCTCGTTTACATTTATAGGGCTTTTTTCAATATCTGAATAGCATGCAGGTTAGTGTCAAGTGAGTTGAGAAACATAGAACAGACTAATAAGGATTATTTTAAGAGGGACTGATCTTAAACATAATCTTTTTACTTTGATACTTCAGGACTTTTGTAAATCACTATCTATTCTTGCATAACCCTTACAATGCCCTATGTATCGTATGTAAATGTCAAATATCATATAAGACATAGTTTTTAAAATAATATGCATCTGAGACTTTTTTCATAATTTGATGGTAAAGTTTTTGCTCAAAACCCTTTTTATACATAATAGGACATACCGGATACATGGGGGCGGAAGACTTCTTAAGAATAAATTTGACTTATTTCACAGTAATAAATTATGAATAGTTTATTTTTTCATATTTGTTAAAGGGCCAAATAAAGACTTACAAAAACATGCAACTAAACCAACAAAAGTCTCTTTTTTTCTTGTACCAGGCTTTACAGAGTTCAAGTAAATATTGTTTGGTGTTTGTCAGTCAGTGATACATACAAATGATTGCAAAAATGGGGAGTTCCGAGAAGCTGACTCAAAGTAAGTAATAGAATACAGACAGATTTTTTCCCCCAGAATGTATTCAAATACCTTAATTAGATGAGATTAGATTTAACTTTATTTTCATTATAGTAGAATAAATACAAGTAAGAAAAAACAGTATCTTTTTATGTTACCAATCCAGTGCAGACTAAATAAATACGCCTGGTGTGTTTAGACTTATTTAAATTCTAATTCCATTAACCATATTCTTTAGAATATGGATTCAATTTTAAAAAAGAGAAATACATGGGATACAGGATGAATGCATGTTACCATATATATGCTCTCAGAAAGACCTGTCAGTGAACACAGATGATTTTAGACTGAAGTGTGTCCCTATTTTGGGTGAGGTAGAGGAGCAAACTGAGGATCAAAGGAATGGAAGCCCTTTGGTTTTCAACATTTAACCCGAGCCAACTTAACCAGCCTGTGTACTGTAAGTTGAGGATGACTTAGTCAACTACTAGAATGGACCCAGCCATAGAAAATAAGGCACTGTTTATTATTCTAATAGACCTGAACAGTGTTTCATTTTGTTCACCATCAACCAAACAAAATCTACGCTGCTGCCCAATGGCTGAATTATTGTCTCCAACCTCTGATTTTATCCTCCAGCTTTATTTCATACATGTATATATATACACAAACATGATTCAGAAAAAGGAAAATAATGAATATCTACAAAAATTACATGTAAGTATGGATACACACCCACATTTCTGGGGAAAGTAGCACACAGTTGTTACTGATTAAATACTTAAATCAGTCTTTCTATTGATTTATTGATATTGCAGGAACTCTGAAGTCCAATGTTTAAATGGTCAGCTGCCCAGGCCGGAGAGCCAAGCTAGTTGGAGAAACAGACCTTTGCTCCTTTGCTTGTTTGTTCTTTTGCTTGGCTGTGGGAGTGAGTAAAAGCAAGGGGTTACAGAATGCTAGCCTATAACGGTTCGATGCCCTGTTTCCGTCTGAGTGTTGAAACGGGTTGATTTGGGGTCTCAAACCTTTGGGACGCTTTCAGGGACGAGCGGACAGACAGTTCTGGTAGGATGCAGAAAACAGTGCTTCTGGTCACTCTGCTGGTCCAAGGATGGACCTGGACCATCCAGGGATTACCGACACTCCCGGAGCCCCTCTATCCCACACAGGAGAACTTCGATTTGAGCAAGGTGAGAGTGAAAGTCTGGAGGGGAGTCTTGCTTGTGTTTTTTTTTGTTTTTTTTGGGGGGGGAGAAAGATAAACAGCATTGATGCAGACTTTCTTCTTTGTATCATATGCCAGCCATTTTTTCTTAATGATGGATAAAAATACTCACTGAATACTCACCTTTGTTTTATACTGCATATTTACTAACCTAAAACACTTATTAGAGGAATTTCTCTCAAAGATTTCCATACAAAAGGATATCCCATCGAAAACGCACAGAAGTCAGTTTCAAGGAGAGTAAGCATTGCATTTTCCACTCATAACGAGTTTTGGTCAACAGAGATATTTTCTATTGTAAATTTCTGGCATCGCTGGAAAGTGTATTTTCAAGTAATGTAAGGTAAACATTTCAGATTCATTAAGCTGACTGAAGTAAGTGAATATATGTCAACTGGTCTACGTCAGTGTTTCATTTTTGGAATGACATATCTTCTCCACAGTTCTTGGGAACATGGCATGATGTTGCCTTTGCCAGTACATGTTCCCACTTGAAGCGTTACAAAGGAGATTTAGCCATCGGCAAACTGGTGTTGCAGAGATCTGCCACTGAAGGAAAGCTGGAGATGACTCGGACCATGCTCAGGTTTGTGAGAAAATACTGCTTTCTGAACTGTAAAATAAAGGCATGAATGAAAGAAAAAAATATATTCATATGATAAGCTCATTTGGAATTCAAGGCAAATAAGGTTTAATTGGAGCTGTCCAAGCTGGACCTCAGCCTTGGTAAATAAAAAGGAAGTTCTGGATCCAGATCAAGCTCAAGAGTTAATGACTTATGGTCTGTGACCCGCCTGATTTTCTTACAAAACGTTTCATAACAAACAGACAAATGGGTGCCAAAGGGAAAAAAAAGTGTTGTTAGTTTACAAAGCATCTGGTGGAACAATTCCTGACATGACACTGATATAAAAAGCATCTCAGTCTTAAAGAGGAGGAAATAAAGATGGTTTTCTGGTCATGTCATGTGGTGATATAGGTGGATGCTGTATCAAATATATTTAGAAGAGGAAGACATATATAAAACATTGCTTTGCTTCATCACTAAACTGTGCTGTGTGTGTGTGTGTGTGTGTGTGTGTGTGTGTGTGTGTGCGTGTGCAGAAGAGGAACCTGTAAGGAGATAACTGGGGATTATGAGCTGACCACCACACCAGGACGATTCTTCTACCACATAGAAAGTCAGTGTTTATTTTATTTCTATTTATTTGTTATCTTTTTGTTAAGATAATTATAAACCCTGTAGAATATAACACATGAACAGTGGATATGACCCTCATGTGCACGCGTTGGCTCTCCGTCCTGCAGAGTGGGCTTCAGATGTGGACGCTTACGTGGTTCACACAAACTACAACGAGTATGCCATTGTGATAATGAGCAAAAAGAGGTCTACTGGAGAGAAAAGCATCTCTGTTAAGCTTTACAGTGAGTGGTACATTCCTCTAGATGTGTGTATATTCCTGGCTATTCAACCTTTTCTTCAATTGAGCATAATGAGGGCCTTTAGTTGTACTTGAGTCATTGCTATAAGATTAACTAGAAAGAAACCCCAGGAGTTAGATTTTCAGCTGTGCACGGTTCTCTCTCTCTTCAGGTCGAACAAAGACTGTGAGACCAACTGTGCTAGAGGACTTTAAAACACTGGTCAAGCAACAAGGAATGAGTGATGACACCATCTTCATTAAAAAGAACAAAGGTACAGCACACAGTACAGTACAGTATGTGGTTTCTATTATCTCTATGCTGCATAAAACAATAAAGACAAGAGCACATTAAAATGAATAAACAAAGGAAACGTAACAGTTTTTAATCTCTGTGTAGGCGACTGTATCCCCGGGGAGCAAGTGACAGAACCCACAATCAAGCCTGAATCTCAGGTGGCAACTCATATCATAAATAACCATAGAAAATACTTATGTATGTTACCATAGATAGATAGATAGATAGATAGATAGATAGATAGATAGATAGATAGATAGATAGATAGATAGATAGATAGATAGATAGATAGATAGATAGATAGATAGATAGATAGATAGATAGATAGATAGATGTGCCTGAAAATGTAGGTTTTCTGACCACTTCTGACAGCAAATGGCAAGATTAGGAGTAAAGAAAGACTAACGGAATTTGCCGTTGGCAACAATTGCAACGCTATTGATAGAATTAACAACATGACATTCATCTAAAAAAATTAAATAAATGTAGTCACACATAATCTGTAATCTGTAATTTTTGGTCCTAATGGCTGTGTGTGGCTGAAGCTGCTGTCTGTGATGCAGCGGGTGAGGAGGAACGTGGTGCCCAACTTGGATCCAGTAGATGAGGAGGGTTCTGGGGATGACACACCTTTCTTCAATGGAACCAGTAAGAGATCAGCAATACTCTTCTGATCCAACTAACTGGTGTGTACGGTGTTGATCCTGACGCTCCTGTTTGCTCCATGCATCTCAACAGAGGCCTGTAAAGCTGAACCAGATACGGGGCCGTGCTTTGGGATGCACCAGCGCTACTTCTACAACTCCTCCTCAATGAGCTGTGAGCTCTTCAATTATGGAGGGTGTCTGGGCAATCAAAACAACTTTGAAAGTGAGAGACAGTGTCTGCAGAGATGCCGCACAGAGGGTGAGTATTTGTGGAGTAGGTCTTTACTTTACGACCAAATGTTGTTACCTGAACATCTCTTTGAGGCTTGAGAAATCTTTGTACCAAGGCTAGTGTTTGTGATAGTATTTCTGCCGGTGAATCCTAGAAAAACATAAAGAATTGAGTGTTTTGTGTATGTCCTTTCTCTCTTCAGCCGTGTGCCGTCTGCCCATGGCGGCCCAGCCCTGCACCGGACAGCCGCCCATCTGGGCCTTCGACTCCTCCGCTGGTCTGTGTGTCCCCTACAAACCGGGCTTCTGCCAGACCAACGCCAACAAGTTCTGGTCCAAGGCAGAGTGTGAGGAATACTGCGGGGTGGTGAAAGATGGTGAGACAACAGACAAACAGGACAAAATAGAAAACAAAGACAAAGGCACGGCATTAAAAGGCCACAGGCTGAGCGTATGGCCAGAGTTTGTTTCATGATAAAAACAGACTTGGATGAACTGAAAAACCTGTTTAGCCTCTTCTGAAAGAAAAGGAAGAAGAAAAGAACAGCCTTGCCAGAGTACATGTGCTTGAAATCTCAGCTCTTACAACGCAAACATGCCTTTTTTCTCTTTCACAGAGGCTGAGCTGCTGCTGTCAAACTGAGGTGATAAAGCCCCTACTCATCAGAACTCATTTTCCAGAGCCAAATGAACCAGTGAATACAGCGTTCTACAGGATGCAAATTAAAGAATGCCATGTTTTATCAGCTATGATATCACACTGGCTCATCAATAAAGCATTAAACTCTCGTTCTGCCAGGTGTGCTTCTTCTTATAGGATTATAGATAATTAACCAAGTACTTTTTACTCACAATAAATTGTCTTTCATGGGAGTTCCGACATGTTTACATCAACAATGGCTTTGTAATATCATTCCAACTTTATGGAAGATATGCAAGAGTGCTGGATTGTGACACGATTTAAGATATTGTCTCCATATATGTCTCTATATTTATGTTCTACTATATTCCCTGTATGTTGTCACATCCTACATCAATTTGTTGAGGAGAAAACAGAGCCAATCTCTACAGAAAACCTGAAGCTCTCCACAGCCAAAACCAGGAGGGGGCGATGTTGGTCTGTTAAAAGATGTCTCATTCAGCTGCACATTTTCAGAAAATGACTTTTTGGTCAGCGAATGATGAGTCATTCACTGCTGCAAAAATTGCCACACAGCCTCACCACTTCATGCCCTCTCTGCTGTGGAGGAGCCAGGCTTCCTGCTCTCCGTTCCCAGAGTTCCCGGGCCGCTGGCAGTAGAATGCTGGGAATATCCGGAGAGGAAAAAGGAAGTGACATCACAGCGGTGACCTTCCGTGCCAGGCCAGATCACCTGGTGCAGCCTGTGCTGCAGCCACCAAATAAGCACAGACTCACACACGCACGCACACAACCAGAGTCGTGCTCTTTGTGCGGTGCGCACATGCATGCTTAACTTATCCATCACGAGTGCTTATGTCACATCTTGACATCTCAGTTTGTTTTCCAACAGAGCAGTGAGACAGAGAGGCAGAGGTTCCCATGAGGAGGGAGGAAGCGATAACCTCAATTAGTTCAGCAGAAAACTTTCCAACAGACAGTGTGAACCCAGCACACTTTTGACGGGAAAATTCCCCCCAACCATTCAGACGGTTCCTCACACAACAGCAAACACTCTTTCTGTCTCCCTGCCTGTTTATCACTCTATATGTTTAGCAAGTGTTTCAGAGTCAGTGTTCATTTAGTTCCTCCATAAATCAATGAGGCGCAAACCCATGCAAACTCAAAAAGAATTTCAGAAGAATATTAGAGCTTTAAGAGAGTTGAAAATCCTGCGATGTGTTTCTGTTTTTTAGTTACAAACATCCTGCATAATTACAATGACAAAGCCTGACCCCACCCAACTTCCCCCCTTCTCCAGCTGCCCAACAGAGCCTCCAGATTGTCCACCAAGAAGGATGCTTTATCTTTACCAAGGCCTTCATGGTCTTTTAAACACCTGGCTAGTGTGTCAACATCCCCAAACAGCTGCTTTGACCATCTTCACATGTGTAATTGATCATTATGTGGAGTTCATTCATTTTGTGGCATCTGACATAAAAATGTTTTATCCAAATACCTATGGTAAGACATGAATTTTGCCCAAAAATAACAATTGCATTTATTTTATTTATTTCCCTCAATTAAATTATGTTTTCTGCCTCTTGTCGCCAATATATATGTTTTAATCATTCTTTATCTACTGCTACAAAACTTCCACACCTCTTTTTCAGGGTTTGAACTGTAAAAGCAGCCGAAGCTGATGCAATTTTTTCAAATTTGAGATGATTAGGGAGGCCTTTTTACCCAGATGTCAACAGATGACAGATGGGAATTGCACATACAAGCTGTGAACATATGGTCTATAATCCAGATTTTATCTGAGTTTTGAGGGTTCCGTAGGTGTTACATTGCCCAAGAGCACAAACTGATAAAAAACACCAAAAGGAATCATCCTAATCATCCTTGTTTCTTTGAGAAGCAGGATGGACAAGACAAGAAAGCAGTAAATGAAGTTGAGAAAGGAGACGCAGACAGAGAAAAAGTTGCAGATGTCCCCTTCAACATAAATCAGGCAGTGTGTGTGGCGTTGTGGAGATGTCTTTTCATTTCATCAGCAACCTGCTGCTGCCATCGTCTATTATCTTCCTGACAGAGGATCCCTTCCACACACACGCACACACACACACAGTCACACACACACACATGCGGTGGTGTTTCCCTTACCTCAGAGGACTTACTACATATTCAGGCCCATTCTTAACCAGTGCCACTTCTTGGCACTTCATCCCTAACCCTCACCTTAACCTATAACCCAAACAACATCACTTTCTTTCCTTATTCAAGAGTAACTATATGTACCTATAGAACTGGCAAACATTAACACGCAATGAGAGAGGCTCTGTTTTCTATTACATCCCTCTAAAATGCAAATGGACCTCATTTTCACAAAGTCACCAATTTAAAGTTATCTATAACGAGAAAGAAGAGGTGAAAGAAAATGTAGAAGATCAAGTTGACTTTATTCAAGTTCAGAAATGTTGGCTGTTTAAAGAACACATTTCCCAGTGTGTAAAGATAAGTATATTGAATTTTCAAGAATTTTCTGTGACCTTTAAACCTGCAGCTTTCTCATAAATAAACTTATTGCGCAAGAAGACTAATATCATTTCCACAGCCAAAAGAGTCCTAACAGACCTTGGTCCTATCCAAACTTCGAAATTATACATGTCTATTAAAATAGCAAGCTGAAATATCCAACTCAGCTCCAGTTTTATTAGCTAATTTTTTAAACACACACACACAACAGATCTGCTGGCTATTCTGAAAAACAAACAAACACGAAACAAGGTGCCACAATTTGGAGCTGTGTATGTCACTGCCAAACAAGACCACCAAATCCAATTTGCCACTAAATCCCACTCCTCTTTAAATCCCAGAGCCACAAAATACAAACCTGCTTAAAGCTAACCAGCCTGCCAGAAGTACCAGTAGTTTCCCTTTAAAGAACAATAAAAACAGAAAAGTGAGGTAAACACAAGTCAACAAGGTTATGACTAAAATTAAAAAGAACATATAAACGTATACAGTATCTAAAAACTTAGAATTAATCAGAATATATACATGTTATTAGGTGATTAATCAGACTACAAGTAGGCTGAAAATGAATAATAGTATAGTGATGAAGACAGTGCATAAAAAAAATCTAAATGAATTCATTTGAAATAAATTAGTCTAGATCGACATATTAAAGAAAATATCTCTGATATTCCCCCCAAAACAACCAAACAAGTATAATCTTACAAGTTAAGACTCAGAATATGTGCAGTGGGCTGAATTATAAGAGGCCATCAGTGTGGTTTACATGGAAACATTTGCCTGTGTCTGAGAATGCGACAACTTACCATAATATGTGGTCATTCGACATTCTTCTCTCATAGAATTAGCTTGCAACATCTGGCAGCAAAGCCTTCTACTAACACACCTGTTTTTTTCCACCATTAATCCACCGCAGCTCCTGGACCCCACCACCATAATAAAGAACAGAGGCTGCTGCTAATTGCTCAGTTAACCCACAGACTTATAGGTCAGTGGAACAACTATTTTTCATAACCAATTACAGATGAGTTAATGAAGAACAGGAAACACCCAAGTGCTTTCGTACAATAACTTGTCCACCTAACAGAAGCAGCTGTAAATTAACTCGCTTCTTCCTTTTGTGTGTGTTCTCTCTCAGAGCAGCATTGAAAACTGCTCGGCTTTTACATGGCACCCCTTATTAGTTGATGAGTTTGCTCATACGCATTCAGTGAGTGTTCTGAAGTGTGCATCTTTCATCCCTGTGTTCAAGTAAAAATGCATGAAATGACCCTTGACCGAATGACCTCGAGGATATTCCGCCCTCCACTGTCTGTGTCTCTGGACAGTGTGAGGCTGGGGCCACTCTCCTTTGATTGACCTCTCTTTGACACACAAGCATTCATACTCAAAGAGTGTAGATGACCATTCAGCACACTCCCAGACAAGCAGACACAATAGAAGCCCCGGCGCATTCCTTTTTCCCAGGTGGCATAAAAGACACAGCCAGATCAATTTCCTAATGGGCTCCAAAGCCATGGCGGAACATTATTAACCCCTGATTGGTGTGAGTTCCTTGTCTGCCAGTGTGTTTGTAAACGTATTATTATGTGAGGGGTTTTACTTCCCGTCGCGTGAATCTGGGTAACTCATGGACAAAAGGCCTTGCTTATGAGAATGTGTTGTGAGAATAGTATTCCAAGTGAGTTTTTAAAAAGGCAAAAGCAAATAATGAATTTATCAGCTGCTAAAGGAAAGCCAATATCTAGTATTTTGAATCACCACCCCAGCTCTCAGGTTCTACTCCCTCATCCCCCAACTCTACCTCACTCTTTCCTCCCCAGGCCTCCACTCCAATTCCACTACAGCCATGAATGTATATATGTGTGTGTGTGTATGTGTGTGTGTGTGTGTGAGGGTTGGTTGTAGGAGGACAATGGGCAGTAAGGGGGCTAGTTGAATAGGACCATTGAGCCTGCTCAGCCAAACAGAAAATCATCTCCCAACTCACTTCAAAACCCACAGTTTCACTCTGTACAAGCAGGCCTTTATTCTCTATAATTACTCACTCATACACATGTACACACATGCATACATAAGTACAAATATTTATTGCATGTGCATGTACTCTTGTGTAATTTTTTGAACGCATGTAACAATATAGGAATGTACAAGAAAGTAAAAAAAATATTCATATTCATGCTTACATTGAAATATTATAGTATAATAATTACAATTTTATTTTTTCATTAAAACAGGTACATGATGAATGAGCTAGCCTGGTCCAAACCTCATTTGGACAATAATACCTCCGGCCTTAGAGTGGTGAAGTCAAATAT